CGATTTGAAGTCAATGGAAATGCGATGCCTAAGCCCCCCTCTCCGATCCTCCACGATCATCCCCGATCCGAGAATCTGTTGGATCACTCTCTCTCTCTCTCTTTCCATATGGCGTGCGTGAGCATGTTTTATGCTAATTGTTGGTAAATGCACCATCCTGCCCGATCCCCATCTGGTCATCTCTGTCTTGCGCCAGGCGATAAATATGGCACAAGCGCATAAATTTGTTTATTAACGAGATTTCGAGAGGAGTTTGGAAGTTCGAAGAGCGAGCATCGGATGAATGTGGATGTGTTGATTCCCTGTTTTAAGTGTTGCCAATTGCTGTTAAAGCTGAATCGTTAAAGTATTTTACGACCCTATTAGATATCCATTGGGCAATGGGCAATACGAGTCCATTCCGTGATTGGTTATGCTCTATTAGTAATTGAGGTGTGTTTAGAGCTTAATAACTGCACAGAGAGCTGTAGCTCTACCGAGGGGGTTCTAATTCCAATGGAATCTGGATAGCACTTACCTACATGTACATACGTATAGATAGTATCACGGTTGGGTGCCTCAGTATGCAGAATGAGTGTTTAAGGTTTTATGGTGTTAAGTGAATGCTGGAGAAACGCAGAGCAAGACTCGTTACTCGTTTCTTCCGTCGTTTCCGCCCTTCCGCAACGTGTCAAAAGGCTTCAACATCAGAGGAGGAGTTCGAAAGATCTTTGAAGCCGACCTCTAAGTGTGCTCCCACAGAGTGTGTGCAACCACAATGGGCTCGCCTCCATGTAATCCGATGCGTTTTTCACCAACAACAGGCACGTGGCATGGTGCCCGACCACAAGACAAGGTACAGAGGGGATGTCCAAGGGACACAATCCATATACGAGTATTGATGCCTGGACACAACATTTCTCATCTTGTGACACGGCCTGTCACTGTCACTGCCTCCCTGCCCTGCCTCCCTGCCACTGCCTCCCCGTCCAATGTCCACTGTCCACAGTCACGGCTTGTGGCGAGAGAGGCGTCGAGATTTATTGAAGTGTTATAATTAAGTTAGAAATCGCTTTCTGATTGCACGTCCTCTGTTTCCATCCTCAATCTCCATCTCTCATTGCAGTGTTCACCTGGGGCAAGCGCATGAGTCGCAAACTGGATCTGCTGAAGCGGAGCGATTCCCCCGCGTCCCACAAGTCGCACACTGATCTGCGCAGCCTCTTCCACTCGCCAACACACCACAAGAGCAGCAGCAGCAGCTTCTCAGGCCCTCCAGACTCCAAAGCATCCCCGTCACCAACTGGCGGCTATCAGAGCAGCAGCACTTTGAAGAAATGCAAATCGGGACCCATTGAGACCATCAAGCAGCGTCAGCACCAGAATCTGCATCAGAATCACCAACAGCACCAGCACCAGCAGCATACTCTGCAGGATAGCACCCAGAGCGCTCACTCCACGCCCACGCACCAGGTACATTACCAGGCGGCGGCACGCCCACAGAAGGCCCTGAAGAACTTCTTCCATCGAATCGGGTCGACGGGCATGCTGAATCATCGCTCGCACAATCTCCTGAAGGCCTCGGAGGCGGCACAACATGCCGCGCCGGCAGCGACGACGCTATACAGGAGCAGCTCCACAAGTCAGCTGTCCAGCTCCTCCTACATCAAGTGCGACGATCCCACCGAGGGCCTGAATCTCCAGCGGGAGCAGAGGGAGCAGCGCGAACAGAGACTCCCCCGAATAGCCAGCCTTAAGTCCAGCAGCTGCGACGACATCGCCAAAGTGAGCAGCTGCCTGACGGCTAGCAGCAGTAGCGGCAGTGCCGCCGTCAGCCTGGGCTCATCGCCCAGTGGAGGAGGCAGTGCCGCGGGCACTGGCACTGGGGCTGGGTCTGCTGCATCAGCACCATCTGGGGGATGCGGGGGGGGCCAGCAGGATGCGTCGCGTCGCGGGGCCTTTCCTTACGCCTTTCTGCGCTCCCGTTTGTCGGTTCTGCCGGAGGAGAATCACGGCTCGAGTGCCGGGCACCTGAAGCACCAGCAACACCAGCAGCAGCAGATGGAGCGACGGGAGCAGCTGCACCAGGAGATAGTCACCATCCTCAGTCGGTCGCCGCTGCCCCACCGCAGCTCCCCCGAGCAGCAAATGAGCAGATGTGCAACGGATGTGTCACGAAACGACAGTATCACGTCCAAGGACTGGGAACCACTTTACCAAAGATTAAGTAGTTGTCTGAGTTCTAACGAGTCCGGCTACGACAGTGACGGGGGGGTGGGCGGCGTTGGAGGGGTAAGGCCGGGCAATAATCTGAGCATCTCCGGCGGAGATACGGAATCTATTGCCTCGGGCACCCTAAAGCGCAACTCTCTAATCTCGCTCAGCTCCTCGGAGGGCGTCGGAATGGGAATGACCGCAGGATCGGGTATCCGGAACAGCAGCATCTGCAGTGCGCCCGTGTCCCTGGGCGGCTACAACTACGACTACGAGACGGAGACGATACGCCGCCGATTCCGGCAGCTGAAGCTAGAGCGCAAGTGCCAGGAGGACTACATCGGCATCGTCCTCTCGCCCAAGACGGTGATGACCAACAGCAACGAGCAGCAGTATCGGTATCTCATCGTGGAACTAGAGCCCTACGGCATGGCCCAGAAGTGAGTATTCATCGGATTCCGAAAGAAGCATTCTCTAATTTATAATTTGCAATACCTAGGGACGGTCGTCTTCGGCTGGGCGATGAGATTGTGAATGTGAACGGAAAACATTTGCGGGGCATCCAGTCCTTTGCCGAGGTACAGCGCCTGCTGAGCATCTTCGTGGACAACTGCATTGACCTGGTAATAGCCCACGACGAAATCACGACGGTCACTGACTTCTATACCAAAATCCGCATCGATGGGATGAGCACACAGCGCCATCGGCTGAGCTATGTGCAGCGCACCCAGAGCACAGATAGCCTGGCCAGCATGCAGAGCCTCCAGCTGCAGCAAGATGGAGAGCGGCAGGGGCAGAGGGAGCCGGAGAATGGGGGTGAGGACCAGTGCGACGCCCGATCGATAGTCAGTGTAAGCACACTGCCCACGCCAATGCCCCTGATGCAGCACCGACGGAGCTCTACGCCCCGCCACTCGCTGGACGTGAGTGCGCCGGAGCACGAGCTGTTGCGACGACGGGCGCGCAGCTCCTCAGGTCAGCGCTCTAGCTTGGTTCTAACACCGACACCGCTCTTTAACAGCAGCAGCAGCAGCTGCTCCTCCTCACCTAACCACCACCACCAGTCGAGCGATAATCTCGACGAGAACGTGTCATACACGCCCGTCTACGCGAATCGAGCGGCGAGCGTGTGCGTGGCCTCATCGCTGGCGGACGACGAGAAGTGGAAGCTGCTGGCCCGCAAGCGGTGCTCGGAGGGCGCCGCCCTGCCCCCACCCGGGTCGCCCGGTGGCCCCCAGCAGCAGTTTGGCCAGCGCACCCACTATGCCCGCAACTCGATTAACTTGGCCAACTCGCACTACCGCTCGTTGCGGTTCGCTCACTCGCGGCTCAGCTCGTCACGGCTGAGCCTGTTCATGCAAACGCCACCTAACAATCTAACCGAGGGAGTGGGAGCACCCTCTAGCCCCCAAACAACTGCAACAACTGATCTCACTAATATCCAGACGCAGCAGCAGCCGCAGCCGCAGCAACATCCACAACAACACCACCAATCACTATACATCAAGCACACGCCAAAGAGCGTCTCACTATCCTCGCCTAATCCATATCTTAATGCCTCATCTCCACCAGCCTCGGTATCAGCGGCAGGATTGGGAACAGTAGTAGTCAATACCGGATCATCTCTGGCACCTCCTGCCGCCGCTCTAATGCATCATCGCCCATCGCTGCCGGTGGCCAAGCTAACCATTCGCGACGAGGAAATGGCCGAGGTCATCCGAGCCTCCATGAGCGAGGGTGAGAATCGTTAACCCCAAATAACCCAAATGTCGTCAATTGGTCCTCATACAAAGTAGAGAACTTTTATTGATCAAAGATCCATTCCATTTTCCAGGCAGTGGACGCTGTACTCCAAAGACCATTACATTCTTCAAGGGTCCGGGGCTGAAGTCCCTGGGCTTCAGCATTGTGGGAGGACGCGACTCGCCCAAGGGGAATATGGGCATCTTTGTGAAGACAGTGTTTCCATCGGGACAGGCTGCAGACGATGGCACCTTACAAGCGGGTAAGTGTGGAAGATCCAATCAAATTGAAATTTCAATATCTGAATATGTCCCTCCTACAGGCGATGAGATTGTGGAGATCAATGGCAACTCTGTGCAGGGCATGAGTCACGCCGAAACCATAGGGCTATTTAAGAATGTACGAGAGGGCACCATTGGCCTGAAGATCTTGAGAAGAAAGTAAGTAGGAATCTACAATATATGAAAGAGTTCTAACTAAATAAATGTCTTTCTTTTCAGACTGCAGAAAGCTAAATCTATGGGCACGTAGGGCTTGCATCTTGCTCATAGTAGAACCACTAGTTAATAGCTAATAGACCGTTTTTGTTTTTGGAATCCCATACCTGTAATACCTGAATCTGGATAACCTGCTTTGTTTAAGCAAGTTAAATGTAAATTTCAGCAACTAACTTCTTTTTTTTGTTATCGTACAAAGAACTATTCATATAGTTGACTCTTATAGGTACTAGAATCCCATAAATATAGTATGTAAGAAATTGTACGGAGTTACAATATAAAATTATTACCTACCTAGACTATGCTAAGCTTCGTAACGTTGTACAAGTTCATGAATATAAATATATTTACTTTAGAAGTCTAGTGGACTATTATTGGAGCTGTTCTCTGCAATAATTGCCGCTGTATAGCCAAGAAGTTGCGTGCAGAGAAAAACGAGTATTTTAATTTCTAGCATAGAAAAAACGTCGGGCGCTATATCGCGGGCAAATAGGGCCAGATGGGCGAAAGATTGCACTATTAACGAAGCTGGGCACTTAAAATTTCGATATGAATCATCTTTCGTAATTTCCTAATTTAAAAAACAAATTTGGTGCACATATATTGTAATTCTTTGTGACATAGGTATAATGATTCAGCTTTCATCCTTGACTATCAGTCTTTGCTTTTTCACAAAGTGCTCTATGCGATTCTCCAGGCTCTCTGCAAAAAGATTCAATTAGCTTGTTGCGAAAATACACACTGTGCAATTTCCGGAAAACACTCACCACAGCGTTTTCGCTCTAGGAGAGGCTGATATTCCCGCGGTTTGACAGAGTCCTGTAAGAGGATGACCTGCGCTGTCACACGTTCTTTTATGTGGTAGTTTTTTTCCAAGAGGTGCTCCAGTTGTTGGAGAACATTTCGTATCATAGTGCTCTTCACACTGAACTCCGTCCACTCGCATTGGATGTTCTCGATAAGCTTCTCCAAGTTCTCTTCGTTGTAAATCCAACTTGTAATATCTTTTTCCTCCGCAGGACTTTCGGAGCTTTCCACATCCATTGCGGAAGTGTCCATGGCCTCGTCATCCTCAGCACCATCAGCTGGAAGGTTTACTTTCCTCGTCGTCGTGTCTCGAAAATTACAATGGAACAGATTCAACGGCAAACCAAGAGCAGGTGTGTACTGAGGTTTGCACGGATTAGTTTCCACATCGAGAAGGTCGCTGACAATACGAGGCAGCTCCCTTCGCTGTCCCACGAGCAGCAGCACGGCCATGATGCATCTTATCTGATGCCAGAGGAAGGCATTTGCTTGGATCTCCAGATAATACATATCATAGCCTATTGATTGACGAAATCAATGAAATCCTTAAAAATGAAATAGCAGAGCCTCATATATTTACCTGAATTGTTTAACATTTCCACGCAGGGCTCAACACGAGCTGCCTGTAGATTCCTTATAAATTTCGTGACTCCATTGTGCACATCCATTTTGCAAAAGTTCCTAAAGTCAGAATGTCCAACCAGCAGCTTACAGGCTTCCCGCATAGCTTCAATGTCCAGGTCACCCTTGGGGAAGTAGTAGCGATAGCTACGCGAGGTGCAATCAAAGCGAGCACTGTATACAGGGCTCCGGAGCGGCATCCACGCCACACATTGAATGTTCTTGGGCAGCACCCGGTTAAGAAGGCCACAGTAGTCGATTTCGGATGACAGGGAAGCAGGCTCCAGCTGAGTGTCAGGCGTATGTTTGCTGCGCAAATCTATAGAAATCACCTGGCAGAAGGCGCTTACTTCCTTGTCCGTGCGTCCACAGCGATGATAGTTGGATGTGGCACGGGATTCGATGAGACAAGTGCGCGTCAGGGCGCGAAACAAATGCGACTCTGTTCTCAAACAGGACGAAATAATGCTAATTGGTCACAAACAGAAATAGACCACCCACCAATGGTATCGTTGGAATCCTCCTGGCAGGCGAAACCCTGGTAGTCCCATCCAAAGTAGGTCAGTTTCAGCAAAACATGACGCTGGTGCGCGCTGAAAGGTGAAGTTTTAGTGCAATCTCGCATTGAATTCTTCATTTGGGGGCCACTTACATACTCCAATCGAACTTACGTTGCTTCTTAACCTTGCCTGAATGTGTCGTTGTCTCCTTGGGAGCTGTAGCGGTGGCCGCCGTCTCTTTACCCAACAATTCTGCATATTCCGCATTACTTCTATCATGCTCCGTTAGTTTCTTGTGCAGAAGATTTCTCAGCTGAAAGTTGTACGCCTCCAGTTGGACTATTTTATCAATTAGCTCCGTTTGACTGAGTTCTCCCAAAGCCTCTCGCGACAAACCCTTTTGGCGCTTATTTATGACCACCTTTCTGTCATTTGTTGCACTCATGTTGTCCGTAAGTAAAAAGTAAACAAAACGGCACGTGCGATTTGGCGATTGGGAGGAATATGTAACATAGAACTTGAATTCGTCAGTATATTTACGGTATATTTTTTAAATGAGACGGTATGTTTCGGTATGTTTCTGACGGTCGGTCACACTGATATCAACAATCCTAGAATGAAAATTCAGGTGCGTAAATCGTGAAAGTAATAAGATATTTACAGAATAAAATACCAACAAAATGGCGTGCCCGATCCTGCGACGAAAAAGCAAGTCGTTTTTTTGAATGGGCTACAGAAAAGGGTATGGACAACAGGCACAAAGAGTCAAGGAAAATTGCAAGGTTCGTACGAACCTCACCTGGCGTGTGAGGACAATCAGCTTTTTATCTTCAAGGTATATTGGGCAAAAAGGGTGGCTTTTACCTTGCATGCGTTGCTTTTCTGGGCCGTTTTGCCTCTTGTCCATACCCTCTTTTTCCTTCCATTATGTAGCTAATGTAGACTCCACATACTCTTCCAATCCCCATTTGCTGTTCTAGTCGCGCAGCATCTGAAGGTGAAGGACACAGTACGAAGAAGGACATCAAGGACAGGACAGGACCCACGATGGACACGTGCAATCACAAGGTCGACAGCGAGAATCACAACTGTGACATGAGCTCCCCTCCCTCGTCATCGCCACTGTGCTACGCCAGTCTGAATGTGCTGCCTGACGAGATTCTCGAGTTCATCTTCACCTACCTACCACCCTATGGGGATCTGGAGCACTGCAGCATCGTGTGCAAGCGCTGGCATGGCATTGTAAAGAGTGAGTATGCACGCAGTGTGGCTGCGATCGATAAAGAGCTTCTCTAGCCTCACCTATTCTTCCCCCTATTGATCCCCAGATCTCGTGCGCCGCTCGAAGTTCAACCTCGAGAAAGGCCTGACCGACTTTCGACTGCGTTGGGAGGTTTTCTCGCCACAAACGGCCGCCGCCGCGAGTACCTCACCCGTAGCCTTTATCGCTGGACGGTTTGCCCACTCGGCGGTGCGCCAGCGCAACTCCATGTATGTTTTCGGCGGCGGATCCACTTCGGACACCACCTTTAACGATCTTTGGCGCTTTGATCTGACTCACATGCGCTGGGCAAGGCCTGTAGCAACGGGCACGTATCCCTCGCCCAAGGGCAGTGCCTCCATGGTGGCCTGGAAGGATCAACTCGTGCTCTTTGGCGGCTGGCGTTATCCCTCGCTGCATCCGCCGTATCAGCCGTGGTGCCTGTTCGATGAGTTGCACTACTACGATCTAGGAAAGAATCGCTGGCTTTTGAGGAACACTATGCCCTGTCCGCCGCCCATGGCTGGCCACTCGGCCACGGTGCATGGCGACCGCATGGTTGTGTTCGGTGGCTATCAGATCACGGACGATGTAAACATCAACTCCAACGACACTTGGGTTCTGGACTTGCCCGAGCAGCGCTGGTGGCAGCCGCTGTTCGTGGGCAATACGCGGCCCAGTGCGAGGTATGGACAAATCCAGATCGAGTTGGGCAAGAATCACCTCCTTGTCGTGGGCGGCTGTGGCGGAGCCAATCGGGTCTACACGGATGCCTGGCTGCTGGACATGACTAGAGATGTGTGGTCTTGGAAAACGCTGACCGTGCGCAACAAGCGATTCGGGGCCGTCCACATGTGGTGCAATCCTGGCTGCAAGGTTAACAACTACCTCGTAGTGGTGGGACCGTCGCCCAACATGCCCCAAGACTTTCAAATGATGAAGCAGAGTCGAGTTCCTGTGGTCGGTGGACGTGGCCCGCCGCCCCCCAATCCTCACCAAAACATGCCGCAGCGGGGCCAACGAATCCTAATGCCGGAGCGCCGGCTGGCTGGAGGCTTGGGAGGCGGCTTGGGTCAAAATCGAGTAAATCGCATTGGAGCAGGAGGAGGAGCGGGCGGGGCTCTGGCTCCGCAAGAACAGTATTTGGCCAATCGACGGGCCATTCTCAACCAACATATGCAGCAGGCGCAGCAGTTCATGCACAACAATAATGTAAACAACAACAACAACAATAGTTATCAGCCACGATCCGGACGTTTGAGTGATTTGCATGCTCCTCCAGCTCCGGCTGCCGCCGCCGCAGCTCCTTCCCCACCCTCACCGCCAGTACGACCCCCCTCCCTGGCCGCAGCCGATGGGGATGTGGATGCAGCCCAGCGTCTTCAGCGCAATCTGGCCCTGCGATGCCGGGACAATGAGCCTAGATTACCCAAACGATTTGATGAAATGTACGAGGTAAGTGCACAAATACGACACTATTTGGAACATCCGAAACTTAATGCACAATTTCCGCACAGGATCCCTTCCGTATGGCCGCCTTCAACGTGCCGACACGGTCACGCAGCGCTTCGCGAGACCACAATGAACGCATCCGACGCATGGAGGAGAAGATGAACGCCATACGCAACTCGCGGCGAAGTGCACCCGCAGCCGCCCAGGTGGAGCCGCAGCCGTTGCGTGCCCCCTCACCCAAGCGACTGCGCTGCAATGTACAATCCCTCTTCGTTTGCGACATCTCAGGCATACTCAGCAGCAGCGAACCCGCCCTAGACTGGGTGGAATACAAGAACTTTGGTGTTCTCCGGGGAGCCCCCGACCGCCTCATCCTGTCTAGCCTCATTGCCGGCAATGGCGAGCTGATCCTGTTCGGTGGCGTCCACAAGGAGACCCTCACAGACATCACACACCACGTGTCCAATTCCATACACTTTCTGAGTTTTCCCCGTGATATTATTTAAGCTCGGACCGGGGCCCGGCCAGCCATACTACAGCAGACACGATAGCTATGTCTATGTCTATGTCCTCCCCTCCTGACCTAAACCTAAGTTATAGGTAACAGCCAATGCTGCTGCCACACCAAACTCCTTCAAAGAAGTTCGGGCGAAGTTTATTGAGACCATATATTGAGTGTAATGGATGAGTTGTATGATTAAACATGGTTACCTACTTAAATTAAAGTATCCTCAATATGTTACCTTAGCCCGACTTCATCTTGTCCTTCGTCCAAAGTCCTAGCTGCCCAGCAGCTCGCCAAGCAGCTTGATCAAGTCGTATGCTTGCTGGAAGCGCATATCACATGTCGCGTCGTCGCAACGCACACATTGTTCCAGCAGCATCTCCAGCCTTCCGTTGGCCAGATCTCGCAGCAGGAAGTCTTTCAGCAGGAGACAAGCCTGATAGACATTCGCGTCCAGCTGCTGGCCACCGCAAAAGGACTTCACATCGAAAGTGAATCCATCGCCAGGCAAGGGCTCGTACTTCTGGGCGTCGCCCAAGGGGACCGCCGCATCCACTAGGACAACAGAGTCCAGGTCGATGAGGATCACACTCTGGCTGGCCTCGTCAAAGGCCAGATTGTCTGCCGTAAAATCGGTTAGAAAGATGCGAAAGTCCGCAAAGCCAAATGTGAGCTTCAGAGACAGCTGGAGCAGTTGTCGGGCCATTTCCAGGCGCAGATTCTCGCCAGCAGTGGCGTAGTGTACCAGGGTGCGTCCGGCATAGGCTTGGAAATGGGTAAGGCCACAGGCAGCGTAGCTCCGAGGCACTGGAAAGCCACGCAAAAACAGTTCCTGCATCAGCAATGGTGTAATGCTGTGCATCATGTAGTACCAAATGGTGGCAGCCTCATGACCGCGCTGCTCCAAGTAACTAACAAAACGGGGAGTCCTGAATCCGCTACGACATAACTGGAATCCACCGGGACGCTCCTCCATCTCAAGAAATGCTTCTCGCAAGATGCCCATATTGCGGTAAGAGTGCCCCCCAATGGCATCTCTTTTGGCCACCAACTGTGCTGCCTGATGACGCTCATTCAATTGCAGGAAATATATCTCCCGACGATCGATCAGCAGAGCGATTCCTTTAAGAAGCTTGCTCCAATCCGAGGGCTCTGCAATGGCCTCAAAGATTTCCTCGCATTGCCAGCGCTGTCCGGCAAAGCAGGCCGGACAAAGTTGTAGATCCCGCTCGAGATGTGCCCTAAATATGTCCTTCTGTGGTTTTACCTGCAGGTCCTGCAGCAGAGCCAGAATGAGCACGATTCTGAGATGTCCGGGCGACAGGTGCATGCCAAGGGGCTGCAAAAGAAGTTTGAGAAAGAGGGGAAGAAGAAAGCTGCATGAGGAGGCTTGGCAAACAATAAAAGAAGCCACACGTGCGTGAGTAAGTGTGTGTGTGAACAGTGTCTGCTTGTGTGTGTATGTGTGTTCGATGAATGTGCGTCCGGGCCCAGCCTCCCTCCAGGGTCCACACCATTACCTGTTTCCTCAGCCCAATGCCAAACTTAAAGGCACAGCTAAGGTCTGAGCCAAAGCATCTGCCCCAAGACGGCGCGGCACTGAAGAACCAACCGTTGGGAGCCATCTAAACCCAGCACCGAAACTAGCATACTCTGTAGTGACCAGGTGTAAAAAAATCTATTAAAATTTTCATAATTTAATCAAGGTTGCGCTCGCATAAACGACTGCGCACCTCACTTCTAAAAAAAGAAAGCATTTAAAATAAACTACGATTATAAGCGATTAGATAAGCATTTGTATTTCATCAAAGATCAGATAAACCATGTACCCCACACCTCACACTCCAAAGGGAAGAGTATTCAAGATGGTTGGGTTTACAGAAATAGCTTTGCTTTGGTGTGGCTGTGGCTAGGCGGCGACTTCTCGACCAGCTTCTCTCTGGCTGAACTGAAGAAGAGGCAATTTTAAGGTTCAAGGTTGGAAGTCGCTGCCAGGTGCTTAATTTGTAATCTCAACGAAGGCCTAATCTCATCATCATCATGAAGATAGTGCCAGACGAGCATCGGGAGCGTCAACTCCTTGTAGTAATGTCTGTAAGCAAGCAGCGTCCTGCCCTATGGTACAACAGGATCTATTCTGTTAGGGCAAAGAATCAGAAAAGTGGGAGTAAGCCTCCCAGAAAACAATGGGATCGCCAGAGCTCGAAAAAGTTCGAAAGAAACCCTTTTGGGTACTTCCAGAACGGCCCCAACTAGCGGCAGAGTGGCGAAGAACTGAGAAAATTGAGAGATATAGAGAGAGGCATGATCGAGAGCGTGTGAGAGCGGCCGGAGATCGGACGCCAACGATCGCTTTGATACCACACCTCTACCTCTACCTGGCTGTCCATCGGATCAGTTGAAGGTGGCGCGTTGCGCTCAACGGTTCACAGTTTTCAGTTCCATTCTCGTTTCTCGTTCGTCGGTCAGCCTCGTTCTCTGCGCCGAACAGCTGGTGGCGTCTGTTTTGGTTTGGCGATCAGATCAGCATATGAAGTCCGCGATATCGGTCAAGTTCAGCCGACTCCACACCTCGGCTGCCAGAGCAGAAAAACGACGAACAAATTGTCGCCCAATTAGTCTCGCCTAAAAGTTCGCGTGAAATTCACTTATATTTTCGTGAACTTTTCGATCAAATCGAATTTCTACACTATATAAAACACCACATATAGTACATACCTACTATATAGTTTCGCAAGTGATCGCTTTTGTTTGAAAAGAATTTGTCACAGTGCCAAAAAGAGGTGTGTTCTTCTTGGAAAAATATCCACTTAAATAATCCAATTTTGTTTTTGAAAAATTACCAAAATACACATCATAAATAATTTGATCTAAGGCCGTACCACAAATCTGTGAGCCCTTCACCTCTCGAAGGTGAATTTTATGCAACTTTGAATATTGCGATTCAGAGGAAAGTAAACAATCTGCGCAGCAATATTAGAGATCACGAGATAATTGATTGACTCCGGGGGAAGGGAAGGTAAAAAGTCGCTACAGTTCGATTCAGGAATACCAACCAAATGCTCAAAATCGATGCGATGATCAGCTTCTCGGTGGAGCCGAGCCCGCATTTTACATATGGGTTCTATGTACGCGCTACAACCCTTGGACAGAGTCCATCAGCTCAGTTGTATATGGCTTTAGCAGGGACTATACTTTCCATGCCATACGCTATACATATACCTTCATTCATTCCACTGAATTGCACTTCCGAAAGTACTTTGGACAGGATTCACGCTATGTACCGATAGTCCCCATAGAAGTCACCATAGCCTATGCCGCAAACCGACAACTAAAATCTGTAGAAAAACACTTTAAACCGGTTATGTATTACACCCATCCGCAAAAACACTTAAATATAAATAGGCAAACGAAAGCCCCTCCCCTCCTCATGACAGAGCGAATTCGAGCCGGCATTAGATGTGAATAACTGGTCGACAGACCGACACTTCGTAGTAATATTCTGGCTTATTGATAAACGGAATACGTCTGCCAGAACATACATATGTACATACGTCTGTGCATAACCGTGTGTGTATATATTTGCTTGCTTATGACCAGCACGTTCTTGGCAATGACTAAGGAAATCTAAGGCAGCTTTAGCCAATTGATTCAATTGATATTATTCCATGCAAATTGCGTCACGCTGTTACAATACGAGCACTTGTGCGGTGTACGGTTGGGGAATGCTCTTGACTTTACAGAGGCAAGGCAGTCTAACGTGGGGGCTTTCTTATCAAATCAGATCTGTTTATGGCATATGCCCTCTTAAAAAACTATCATATCAGAACAGTTCTCTCGGCAGACATTCGGTTGCCTGATCGGTTAACTGCCCGCAAACAAAATTCAACGTGTTAATATTTATTTTTTTCGTCTGCTCTTGACGATTTTTCGCCGCTTCTTGCTTTCTATTCGCCCGACCCGAAATAGTTTCTATTATCTAAAGCATGATTGATGGCCCGGCCGGGCACGGGCACGGGCAAATTGGCAACCGGTTCAGTTCCCTATCTCTTTTTTTCCATATTTATGGCCTTTCTCCTCTTTCAGATGAGCAGCTCTGCTGTGGAACTGGCCGAGACCCATCACAAGGAGCAGGCTAGCGTGGGCAACCTGCTGGGGCGTCGCTATGCCGAGCTTTTGCACGGGGAGAAATACACGGACTGCGTTTTCCACGTGTGCGAGGAGCAGCTTAAGTGCCACAAACTGATCCTGAGTGCCGCCAGTCCCGTGTTTGAGGCCATGTTTTTCGGACCAATGCATGAGAATGAGCCCGAGATCGAGATACACGACATTAGTGCGGCCATTTTCAAAGTCCTGGTCGACTACATTTACACGGGCAGCGTGGACTACAACAACCTGGAGCTGGTAGCCTGCATTGAGCTGTACTATGCGGCAGAGAAGTATCTGCTGGACCAGCTGATAGCCGACTCCCTGGTGGCCATCACCAGGAAGCTGCGCTTCTCCAACATTCTGCCGGCTCTGGAGCTGAGTGTGTGCATGGGACTGGATAGTCTGCTGGAGGTCTGCATGACCTTCTTCATGCGCTGCTGCGTGAGCAATGCCCAGTACATGACCCATCTGAAGGAGCACTATGTCCACGTGTCTAAGGAGTGCGTCAAAACGATCATAGCCGCCTGCAAAGAGCCGCACAAGCTACTCATTTGGTATGTCTACGAGTGGACCCAGCAGGAGTGTGAGCAACTGGGCCTTGGTCCTAGCGATGCGGGCTTGGTTGTTCACGGCCTGGGGCCAGAGGCAAACTCGTGGCCCGTGAATGCTTCTGATGAAGTGCAATCTCCTGCTCCGGCTCCAATTGTCTCAGTAGAGCGCTGCTACTACAAGGCCTGCCGGCCGTTTACCGTAGATGCAGAGTCTCCCGTGTGGCGTCTCCGCCTGAAGAGCCCTCGCTTCATCTCTCTCATGGGAGTGGTTCTGAACAGCCGCCTGCCCCCCAACCTGACCAGCACCTTTGGCCACGTTCAGCTGCCTCTGGAATATCGCGAGTCCCTGCGGCTGGACCTTTGCGAGTTGCCGGCGGACGGCGAGGACGCGCCCACCAATCCCGTGTGGAGTCATGTCATTCAAAATCAGAGCACAAAATATAACTGCGACTTGCACCTAAGATGGCGCCGCGAGGAGGCGTGTGTACTCACCCCGGAGCTGTCCTACGAACTGCAAATACGCTGGGACGGAAGCGCATACGGTGCAGAATATCCTTGCAGCCTGCAGTCCTGTATCGCCGATGGCATTCGCTTCATCGACAGCGACAGTTTCATCGGCAGTTTGGTCAAGGGCCTGCGGTACGCCAACCTGGTGTAGGTTTTAGTTAGGCTTAATCTTAATTGTGTACATATTTATTGCCGTAAGTTAATGTACGCTGTGTTGGAGTTCAATAAACTTTGGAAAACACTCCAAACAGATTCAACGATAACAACAAAGCCGGTTTGCTCTGCGGCTTTTGTTTGGATGCTGCTGCTGTTGTCAAACTAAATCCGATAAGCTGTGCTGTGCTGTTCTGTGCCGATTTCTTCATTTGACTGTAATTATTGTTAATTAAGTACCAATTACTTCATGAAATAGATAATTTAAAAAAAAAACGCTGAAAGATATCGATGGGATGTAGTGATGTGATTATACGATGTGTGCTTTACCGATATTCCCTACGTTCTAGCACTAACCACTAACCATACCATAGATACCAATGTTTTCCTCTTGTTTAGTCATTTATACTAAGCTAAGTTTTGATGAAAAATCATGCTTGCAGAGCATCGGATATATACGACCGGTTGGGCTTGCTTGAGTTTAACAAAGGATAAAGGATATTCTTCCAATTACAGGAACCAATGGAACGACCCCACAAATAACGGAGAAAATAGGATACATATGACTGCAGAAAGTATCCTTGGTCCTTGATAAGGAGTCTACCAAATCAAGGATGTTGCTCCAATCTCAGGAGCATAACAAAATTTATCGGTATATCTTTTTTTCAGACTCGACTTGTCTTGTCTTGGCGTGGATAAGTCTAGTGGAATACAACCATCGGATTAGTTTCGATATTTACAGCGTCACTGACAGGGCGGCCTGTCCACCTCTATGCTTTTGCCGTATTGTTTTGTTTACGCTGAAAAATGACGATTCTCTACAAAGTGGAGAGCAAGGAGTTCGGCAAGGACAGCGTGTTTCCCCAAAAAGTGGTGCTATGCTCTGTCTCGGCCCGCAACATTATCGCGTTCAGCTCGCTCCAAAGCGCCATTGTTTCCCATGGCCCCGGGGACAGCAACAGTGCTGGGGTGGCTGTGGGGGCCAGCAACAGTCATGTGTATGTCTGCGACATTGTGACGCCGTGGGAGTACTACAAGGTTTGCTCCTCGAAGTCGCTGATCAATGTGCTCGAGTGGAGTGCCAACGGGGAGAAACTGCTGCTCGGCTATGTCGGCGGACGCGTCGAGATTTGGCAGCCCAAGAATCAGTCCATCAACATCTGGCTTCTGCAATACCATGCCAACGTCCCCAGCGAGGACATCATAGAGGCCAAGTTCTTCCACAACGGCAAGGGAGTCCTGTTCAATCCCCAGAAGAAGGAGCACACATACTACGCAGAGAAGTTTGAGCGCCTGGAGCAGCGTCCCACGCTCAGTGGCTTCGGCGGGGTTGCCAGCGAAGGCTGCATTCTGCTGACATCATCTGGCCTCCTGGGGTCATTCAGCCTACCCTTGTTCCAAAAGTTCTCCAGTGCTGAGAGCGCCGGCAATGAGATTGTTGAGCTAACACCCGTTATGCATAGCATTGGCATCTCCAGAAGCTTCATAGAGCACTGCAGCATGGCCCCGAGTCCATCGGGGGCTGTCAGTGTAGCTTTCAGTTGCGGCTGGCAGCAACAGCTCGTGCAGTGTTTCAAGATCTCCCTGATGATGGAAGGAGACCTGGGCCTAGAGCAGCACATGGCCATCAAGTCCGAGTCGCAGGCAAGTATATTCCTCAATCCGCTGGAGGGCAAGCTCATCAGTCACCTTAAGTGGACGCGGGTGGCCAATGACGACGTAATCTTCATAGCATACTCCTGTACGGAGGGAGGCAGTTTGCTGGAGCAGTGGACCCTCACGCGCAGGCGTCAGAGTGTCCACGCCCTGCTCCAGGGAGGCGGTTCCAATAAGGGCAACGAATTCGTGCAGTCGGAGAGTTGGGAGCAGGTGGCAAAGCTCCATTTGAATGCTCCACTTGCCGATATCTGCCTCTCACGCCTCATGCCGTCCACGGCGGAATGCTCTCCGGTCTATGCGATACTCCAGGATAACAGTGTCCAGGTCCTGGAGCCTAATTCTCTGAAGCAACTGAACCACACGCAGTTCGATAAAGTGACCGACGGCAGTGGAGTGAAATTTGTGAGCGGGGACCTCACTCCCACCAGTCAAATGCTCCTGATCTTCGATGCTCACGCCCAGCTGTATGCCATGCAAGCGCCACTGCTGAAACAGAGTGGATCCGCACTGCTCCTGCTGGAGTACTGCATTGTCACAGGCTGCGATGCCAGTGATGTACTACTCCTGAACCTGGGGAACCTGGAGCCCCTGGTGGAGAAGCTGACGGATAACTTTTCGCGCCAGCCATCGTATGTGAAGAACTACTATTATGCCAACTTCCTGGCCCTCAAGAGCAATCTCTGTCGTGTGCAGCAGCAGGAGTTTGACAATCTAATCATCCTCCATGCCATATCCACCACTTTCAAGAGTCTTCTGCGCCCCTCCGACCTAGGTTACCAGGACAAGGGACCTGCCGATAATCTGACGACGAAGCTGAACGAGTCCATACCAGACGTGGACACAGTGATGCTAAACCTGGATGCCAAGGACTTCACAGTGGAACCAGTGATGCTGCAGAGCTTGCAGCAACTGATTCAATGGGTCACCGATCTGGCGCTCAACATGCTCAACATGCTACCTGAAGAGGTGATGAAATGCAAGCTGTCCGGGAAGCGTCCCAGCTATGACATCAGCCGGGATATTAACGCTATTAGCAGCCTAAGGGAGTTGCTCGTCATGATACGCATCTGGGGCCTGCTGAACACACAATGCCTGCCCGTCTACACCAAGACCATGGACAACATTGACGTGCTGGTCATCCTGTTCCGCCTGCTCACGCGCCTGGCCCAGAACCCCGCGGAGCCGGACGAGATGCTCTTGGACGAGTGCAGTCTTTTGTCGAAGCAGCTTCTCATTCCTCAGCTAAACAAGTTCAATCCCACCACGCTGCTCAGTGCCCAGGGATTTGCTGCAGTGAAGTCGGGTCATCTCATGTTCACCTCCCTTGTAGAGCCGAAGTGCCTGCAGGACATGGAAGTGGAGAATGTGGTCTTCGCCAAGTCGGTGAAAGATGGCGTCAGCAATCTTCAGCTCGGCGCCCATCCCACCACCATCAGAAGGTGCGCCCGCTGTGGTTTCGTCTTCGTCAACAATGCTAACAAAGTGGCCAAGACTTCGGCTCTGAAGGCCTGGTTCAACAAGTGGCTGCATTGCCATTGCGGCGGCTTCTGGAAGCAGATTAATTAGCCACGGCCGCCCCTTTACAGTATCAATCTTAGAATTTAAATATCCATAGCTTTTAATAAAAATCAAATTTAAATGAAACAATGCTTAACCCGTTAGAAGGTATATCAGAGCATAGGGTATAGAAACATACATATGTATGTATGTATGTACTTACGCAGAATCTATGTACATATATCTCTATTCCAGCAACTTGAACCAAGGAATAAGCAAACATATATCTCCAGCGCAACATAAATAATAAAATATTTTTTTAGACAAGATATTTTATCTATCTAATAATATTCGACGGAATATCCTCTTTCGTTTTTTTTTTTTTTTGTCATTTTCGCTAAAACCATTTTTTACGCAAAATGCAATAAAAACAAGTATTAAAAATAAACCATTTAATTAGAAAATAGATTCACTAATCGGATAAAATTATGTGGGCATGGCTAACTGTTCTATGTAGCTTATTATATTTGACGGAACATCAAAATTAAGCAATATGGTTTCAATGCTTGCCGGAGAACTATTAACCTATTATAAGCCAAGGGGGTAATCATTTTAGCGCAGTTCAGATGAAAGATTCGTGGGGTTTGGCAACTTAAAGGGAAGGATAGGATGGATCTATAAGAATTTACAATCGTTAATATATTCCGCCTTTTACCTCGTGTAGTTGAACTATTTAAATATAGGGGGCTTAAGTGGGCTAAGCTCGGGTTTCCATCATACGAGTAAAATAGAACTTGAATTTGTGAGTATAATTACGGTATATTTTTAAAATGAGACGGTATATTTTGGTATATTTCTGAGGGTCGTACGGTATATTTTAACGATAAATCCGCTGTGGGAAGAGCTTGCAAAATAAATACAAACAAATCTAAGAAAGAAATAAAATTAAATAATAACCGTTAGTGGCTGGAAGGAAGAACAACAACTCTACAATGAACATAAATCTGCCCCATTTTAACATGAAGAACCTGGTCAAGGAAGCAGGCAGCACAATATCGCGTGTGGTGCAGGTAAAGAAATCAATGATGGGTGCGAGAAAAAACGGGTGGGGATGAATGGGCTTTTTGGGGGTTGGGTTGGGGGCTATACAAGCACTCAGCACTGACGCTCTTTGCCTTTTTCCCCTAGCTGACGGAGGAGAAGCTTGGCACCACCGAACGCACCGAATACGACTTGCACTTTCAAAATCTCGCCGAACGTGCCGATGTGACCAAGGCATGGACAGAAAAGCTCGTCAAGGACACAGAATCGGTGCTGATACCGAATCCACAGAACCGTGTCGAGGATTACATATTCGAAAAGATCGACAAGTCAAAACCCAAACGAGTAAGCAACCTGGAACACCTGGCCCTGGACATGATTGAGGCCGGCGGGGACTTCGGACAGGATTTGCCCTACGGTCAGGCCCTCATCAAGGTCGGACAGGCTGAGCAGAAACTGGGCCAGTGCGAGCACGATTTCATTGCCACCTCGGGCATTTGTTTTACGCAACCGTTGCGCAAATTCTTGGAGGGCGAGATGAAGACGATTAGCAAAGAGCGCGGCATTCTCGATTCGAAGCGCTTGGATCTGGACGCCTGCAAGAACCGGGTGAAGAAGGCGCGCAGCATGCTAGGCCAACAGTCGGTGAGTGGGCGGAAAAGGGGGCAGTGGGGGCGGTCATAATGGATTATTGACTTTCGATATTTTTCTACATTACTTTACGCTGCCTCTGTGTGGATTGTTGGTTTGATTTATTACGGTTCATAGAAAGATGGCATCTCGCCAGAGGCTGCCTTGGAACAGGTATCAGACCTTGGACCTTGCCCATACCTATTACTCATCACTTAACAGTATGCTGCAGCAGATCATTAATTTGTACTTTTTTTACAGGCGGAGCGCGACCTGCGCGTGGCCCAGGCGGAGTTCGACCGCCAGTCGGAAATAACCAAGTTGCTGCTGGACGGTATTAGCACATCGCAGGCCTCCCACCTGCGCCATCTGCACGCCTTCATCCAGACCCAGGTGCGCTATTACAAGCAGTGCGGCGATGTCATGGAACAGCTGCAGCGGGAGCTGGCCAAGTGAGTATCAGATGGTAATGGTGATCAATGGAGATGATGATGCTGATAACAGACAAACAAAGACTCTCGACTAGACACCAACAGCAAGTCTCGTGCACTCTGTGTAGGATGGTCCCGGTCCCGTCCCTGAGCTAGCTCTATTGCGCCTCTGGTCATCTCACTTTCGGTTATTGTTTGTGGTCTTACAGAATGCAGCATCCCAAGCCGCGCCTGCGCATCAATAGCGAAGATGTTGATGGTGGGCCTCCCAGCTCTGTGTCGATGCATTCCTGTGATTCCGATTCCGTAGTGGGAGTAGCCCTAGATAGCGATAATGAAATTGACAAGTCCCTAACGAACCTGCTGGAAGACTTTAACATTGAATTCGATACGACTGCCATATCAACAGTTTAATCGTAATACAAAATACTTTGGCTTGGTGGCTCCAGTTAACATTAAATGTAAAAAACTATACGTAATTTAAGCGACAGGTTTTTACTTCGTCGCTCTTATTCTTATTGTTGTTCCTGCACATAATCAAATCCAATCCGGTTTCCGTTGAGCGCCTCCCCTCCCATCCATCTGAGCAGCATAATCAAATCACAAATCAAATCCATTAAACTCTGCATCTGCCTCTGCGTATTCCATCAGCTTGGGAGGCCCGACACCATATATACCGCTCGATCTGAGCAACGCCAGTGCCAACAAGTCCAGCGCAACTGGCGGACCGTCGCCGTCTCGTGGTTCGGGCAACAATAACAGCAGCAGTCAGGCTCCATCCGCCCACAGGCCGACCAATCAGCCCATGCATGTCAACACGGATCAAATGCAACGGGCTCGTGTCCTCTGCTCCTATGACGCCAAGGATCACACTGAGCTCAATCTAAATGCGAACGAGGTGAGTAAAAACCGAGACATTGATAGGCCCGCGTGTCTAATCTTGTGCATCTCTAGGTCATATTTGTCACCGAGTGCTCGCCCGTGAACGAGGACTATATGTACGCCAAGCAGGGCCTCATGAAGGGACTCGTTCCGCGGGCCTTTGTCGAAATGCTCGATGAGGAGCACGACGTCACCCTCTAAGTAAACGCGCGCAATATAATGCAATAATCTCAACCAAATACTCGTATGTTGGACAGAAGATGGAAAGGAGAGAAGTCAAAATTAAAAGTCCATGTTACGGCTCCGAAATACTCACACGTATATGGGAATGGATTTGAATTGGAATGGCAATTGGACAATTATAAAATGCGGCCAAAAGGCATTTGGCACTAGCAAGAGAGTACAATAATTTATCAGAATATAGTTATATACAAAGCATATACATACACACATGCATGCATGAACATAGTATTATATATAGAGCATTCCCTAGTTTAGGCCACGTTTACCCCCATCTCATCCTTGTCCTCCCACACATCCACGCCATTTGTACAGCACAGCCACACGCGTCAAGCAATAATCGAAAAATATAGCATGCGCGTATTGTCAGCTGCCTGAATCGATTACTATTTTAACAATTACTACAAACACTATAAACTGAATACTTGGAACGATTCTTAACTTTATTATTGTTACTGCGTATCACATATCTGTAGAATATGTCTAAGCTTCTCCCTCCACACTCGTGAAAGTATTATGTATTATGTGTTATGATTGTCTCTACCGCAGTTAACAAACGAAATTCACTGTGCTTTAAACTATGGATATTCTATAATTATATATATGTACCTATGAGATTGTTAATCCTATTATCTACGTATTACATTATCCGCAAGTGTTTCCCATTTAAGCTAATTAGTATTTAATACAAAATTATTAATTACTTACTTACTCATTTCTGCTGCAATTTATTACATGTTTAAAAAAAAAAACGCAAATCCTTTGGTGCAATTTTCAAAAGTCAATTATTATGAATGTTGCCTCTCAAATCTAAGAGAATCTACCCAAACAAAAAAAAAAAAAGAAACACCAATTAGCGCTTAATTAATGCAAATAAACTGCAAAATGCCAAGGCAGAACGTACAATACAACAAACACAAAGTGAACAACGATGATTTTTAGGTTTTCAACAAACAAATAACAAATAAAAATTGTAATATGAAATGCGTCTAGAAGTGAATTTTAAACACACACCTAAAAATTATGAAATAAATGAAAATATACTATAATCAAAGCAGAAATGATTTTCATCTGATCTTCTGTAGGATCTTGAATAAATAGGTTTTCTTTTAGAGGCTCATCCATTCCGAACTTCTTTATTTGTACATAATCCATTTTGTAATTCAACAGTGGGAAACTACAAATTTTTTCTGGGTTAATAAATGTGAGTTAAAAATAATTAAATATTCGATGAAACGATGCGGCAGATTAATCTAAACGGTGGGGAGAAGTAATATTAAAGTATCAGATGACATAAAAATCAGCATTTTTCTTGTATATCACATACCTAAAGACATGAAGGGCCATGGGGGATGGTGGCCATGGTGGCCAAACTCGAAATCAGAGTCTTCGTCGTCGTCAGCACTTAGGAAACCGAAATCGAACATGTCATCGCCGTAGTAGTCGGACTCATCATCGCTGTCCAAATCATCCTCTAGATCGTCCGGCTCGAAGTCAAAGTCGTCGAAGACAAGGTTGGGAAAGTTTGGATACATGCCATCATAGTTCCAAAAGCAAAAGTGCTTCAACTCGATGATATCCTTGGGGGCGACATCAGGATGCTATTTCACGAAAAGATTATCACAAAAATAACGAGTATCCACAATATCGTCTAGAACTGAACTCACATACTCGATGAGACTGTTTACTTGAGTGCCCGACACACAGAGCTGTACTGGCAAGTTTCGTTGATTCTCCTTCCTCGCAATGTCCAAGCGCAGTTTTTTTATGATTCCATGTACCAATTTCTCGCTTATTCCTTCGCAATCCTCTAGGCCTAGGCTATGCAGCTTCGGGCAAGATTCGAACAGAAACAAAATCGAGGAGTCATGCAGTCTGTTGCACTTTAGGTTGATCTGCTCTAGTTTTTTGAGGCTCGAAAACACTGAGAGTGAACTGTTAGTCATAGCAAACACTTGGGGTAGGACAAGACTGCGCAGACCTCTTAGTTTGGAAATTTGGACAAGAAATTCGGCGGACAAACTGGAGCCCCCATAAACCTCTAGGCACTCCAGCTGTTCGGCCTTATGTTCGGCCAGCTCCTGAAAGAGTTCGGAGCGTATAGTGCGGCCTGGCAATCCGATATAGATGCTCAAGCTCTTGAGGCTTGGCAGCTGGGCCACGTACTCGTATGTCTCCCTTGGGAAGGCGCTTATACAGAGCACCTCCAAAGAAGCGCCCGAGTTCTCCTTGATCATCGTTTCAAAGACGTGAGAATTCATTGTGTCAACTCTCTTCACGTTTAGGGTTTTTAGGTTGGTTAACACCTTGCAAATCTTGGACAGACATTGGCCTTGAAAACGAGGGCACCCGGACAGAGTGAGAGTTTGGATGGAAGGGGAGAGCTCGTGTAGTGTTACACCGGTAATTGGGTTGCCGGCAATATTGAGCACCTGCAGAGTCCGACAGTTCCTGAGGGCCAAGATGCACTCATCAGTCAGCTGATTCTGCGGCAGCTCCAGCTCCTCCAACTTGGTCATCTTGGCGAAGATCTTGTGCATATTTCGCGAATTCAACGGGCTGCTGTGCAGCTTCAAGGACTTTAAATTCGAGCAATTGGTCGAAAGAAAGTCGCACAAGCGCTGAAAGCGCATCGGCGGAATCACGCCGGTAATGTGCTGAACATAAGGACCGGACAAATTGAAAAATTCTCGGAGGTCCCAGACAGTCATATTCTCAAAATCGTACAAATCAATTGATTTGTGCAGTCTGGCCGTGGCCTGCTGATAGATAGCGCGGAAGCGAAGGCATGTCCGAGCGAAGACCGTCTGGTCGTGCATTGGGAGACTCTTCATAATCATCTCTAAGCAGAGATCGTTGACATTCAAAATGAAAGAACACAGTTGATTTGCTTCCTCCTGGTCGTCCGTTCCGTAGGCATCTGGCTGATGCCAGCTATCGCTGGCCTGCACATTGAATCGCCGACCGTTTACATGGTGTATCCGGCTGTGCAAGGCTCTAAAAATGCAGAATATCAGTGGATGTACGCACACACACAGTAGTGCGGCCGGCATACTCACTTTGCTGCATCCTTGGGATTCTCATAAAACACACAGCCAGTCTGGTGGGAAAAGCGATTTGATCTGCCAGTATCACGCCTACCACCGCCACGAAAGAGTTTCATTTGCAAAACGCGCCCATAGTTTGAGAAGTGCGAATGCAGCGTAGATTGATTTAGCTGCGATGAGACAGGACAGTGTATTGTTTCAGAGTAAAGCTTGACAAAAGGGGAACGCGGACACTTACATCCGGTGGGATCTTGTATAAATACAGTTTCAGCACTGGAATGTGGTCTTCTGTGTAGGCAATACCATTCTTGAAGTAATAGTTCTGTTCCGCTGCAATGACAATGGCAATACCGAAGTGCGTGCAATGTGTGCAAGAATTTAGCAACAACGAATAGGAGGGCGGAGTTTGTGCGGACTTGCATCGGATAACTGCATACTTTCTACGACTTACATGGATTGTTGACAAAATGGGCCATATTTTCACCGATTTTAGTCAAATTTTATACAAAAAGTTAGTCCGAGACTCGATTTATTTGAATCAATGTTAATTTGTATCAGTTTACATTTACAATTACATGGCTTCTACAACTACACGGTAACTACATATTTGCTACATAATGGGAGGAAAAATAGGGTATGGACATCAGCAAAAACGGCCCAGGACCACCACCAAAAATTAATAGAGATGCAAATATTTTCATTTACTTTATTAAATTGTGCCTTGTTTTCTTTACGTTTAAATGTTAACGTAAAGTGAGTGACAAAGTATTTTTATATATACCAATTCAGTATATATCTCCTGTTTTTGCCTGTTGTCCATACCCCATTCTGTAGCCAATTCAAAATTACGACTCATGTTGTCGTTGCAGGAGAGAGCTGGCAAGAAATCAGTGATGACAACTGATGGGCTAGAGTACAGCGCCTAAGAGATTTGTTTTATTTGCTATTTTAATAGATTGATGGAATTGATAAAATATACCAAGATATTATTTTAGACTGTGGAAAATATTCAAATGTTGCGGATATTTTCTTCTGTTGACTCAGTTTCCGTTATATATATCACTGTGTACAGTATATATACTGTATGGTTAGTGATCAGATATACCCGCGACTTTTGACTATACATATCGATAAGCAACATAAATATCGGCGGTAAAATATCATTTTACTAATAATAAATGTAATTATTTTGAAAATAAATAGAACAATCAAAACGATCGATCGTTCAAAATACCATTTTTTAAATCAAGCAATCATTCAAAACATGAGGAGAAAATCGATGGTTTTCCAGTTGGAGTGAGCAAGTCAAAGAAATTGTTGAAAATAATAAATAAATAAAAGCATCAACTCTTTTTCCAATATTTCCAAATCACGAAACAAGTTTTTTCAACTTGCATTTTAATTTCGTTAAATATGCGGCATTTGATAAGCTTACAAAATATTATTAGCTTGTTGGCTGTTTCTGTGTTTTTTGTTTTCTTATAGAAAACCCCAACTGAGTTATTTTTCTCCAGTTAATTACCTACCAAATGTACATGTATTCCATTTCGAAAATTGTTTCCTAGTTTTAGATGCGACACGTTACTAAAAGTCTTTTCTTATAGAATCAAGGTATGATAATGGCCTAGCTAGTTTAGAAATACAGATAATTGCTGCCAGCAGCATTTGACTAAATATTCTCTTAGCATAAGTATTATATACAAATTTGTTTACCAATAAGTTACCAAAAGAGCAAATTAGATAATAAAATATACGTAGAGTAGATTAACGAACTACAAATAAATATCTCTGGATTTGTCTGGGTGATTATGGTGAGCGTTTGGCCAATTGTCATGATAGTATCCAGGAGTGTATAATACCTGCAGATGAGAGAGAAAGAGAGGATTCAGTTTACTCTAAAATTCTGGGATCTCGTGGGTTCTACTCCACCAAGTTGTACTCACGATTTTCGCCTGGCGAGAGCGTTATATGTATATCCTCACGACTCAGCACTGGGGCTAAAAGTAGAGAGTGGGCCACAAAATAAAATATACACACATACATATGTATATTCTGCGCTCAACCAACGAGCGTGAACAACATGTGAAGCGACATGTAAGGCGAAGCGGGTTTAAATATTTAAATAACGTTCTTTATTGATCAAGTTGCTAAAAATAATAAACTTTGTTTCGTTTCATTGCTTAGAGCTATGCAACTGTTGCTGTTAATTCTATCGTTAACGTAATGCTGTTGCTGAGGCACTTGCAATATAAATAAATCATAAATTGAAGGGGCTAGCTAGGACATGTCTTTCAGGTTGAGAGCCCCAATTTATCGAGCCGGTCCCAGGGCCAGGGCCACACGATACTAATTTAAATGCTATCACAGTTTCAAAGTCCACCATTATCAGCGGGACACATGCAGGCTGTTGGGTAAGCAATCAAAAGCGAGCGCATGCATGTTAGGAGAACTTTGCATTCCGATTCTGGATGGGTTATGTATGCAAGGCATATGGCTGCTGGGGCTGCTGCGGTTGCTGCTGCTGCTGCTCGAGGCTCCCAGTGGAGGTGCCAGCAGCTCCATCAGCAGCTCCAGGGCCACTTCCGCTAGGTATAATGCGTATCATACCCGGCTGGATCCTAACGTTCTCACAGGCCTCGCAAATATTCAATTGCGGATGATTACGGAATGTACACATATTGCAGGCCCACATGTCAAGTGGCTCCTCATCCTCGTCCACGTCCGAGTCTGATAGGTATTCTTCCTCGTCGTTTACTGGACGCTGCACTGGCATCTGCTGTTGTTGCTGCTGCGCCTGCTGCTGCTGTTGCAGTTGAAATTGTTGGAGCTGCTGCTGTCGCTGCTGCTGCAGATATTGCTGGAACTGGTAGTACTGGGCATACGTAGGCGGCGGCTCCTGTTGCAGCTGGAGTTGCTGCTGCTGCTGGGGCGTCAGGCACGCCGACGTCGGAGCACTGCTGTGGTGCTGCACAAAATCAGGGCCCGTTGTCTGGGCCGGCACAGAGTGCAGACGCAATGAGCTGGGCGGCGCCTGGGAGCGACCAGCCTGTCGTTGACGTGGGAATGGCTGTGGCTGCTGCTGGTTATTGTTGGCTGGGGCCGAGAGCTGACGATTCATGGAATTTGGCGCAGGACCAGACCCACTCGCTTGCGGTTCTACAAAATAAATATTGATTAGTATTAGCTTTGTCTAGGGAACCACGCTCGGGGCACACCGTTGATCAAATTGAGCAGCCGCTGGCAGTCCTCAGTCAGTTTCTTGATATCTCTATCCAGTCTTTCAGATTCGCCCACCGGTACAGGCTCGGTCAGTATGTTGATCTCCTGCTCCAGGACCAGCAGTCGCTTCTTGTTGTCCCGCAAAACATTGGCCAGCTTATCGCGCCGCTGCTTCTGCCGCTCAATGGTCGCTGCTCGAGCTGAAAGCAAGAATGAAAAAAATAGAAAAAGAGTGTTTAAAAAATGGTTAATCGATCAATTATGGAATTGGAATTGAAAGTTCTGCTGTTGCCTGGCAACAAAAATTGTGTTTGCGATTTCGCAATGCCGAATGTTGGCCGAAAGTTATTTTTACTGGCCAATACCTCACATTTTATTACTCTGTTTTGCAGCTAAAAATACTCTCGTGCCTCTGCCTGCCCTGCCTGCCGCAGGGAAGGAGAAGGTTCGGTTCGGTTCATAAACAGAATTTATATTTAAAGCGAAAGATAAATTTAGTGAAAATGCGCAAGCAGAGCATGGGAAGAGCCACAGCACAACCGAAAATCAATCTAATAATAATTTATGTCTACAAAAGAAAATCGGTAACAAAAAAATTATATTATTTTGCTCAATATAACGGAATTAACGAAAGGTATGCGACGAATATGCATTGTTTTTCCAATAAAATATGTTTTGGAAAAAGTTTATAATTTAGTAGCGTATATGTAAATAATCATAATATCATTCTTTAATAAAATGGAAATAATTCACACATATCCACAAAGCTGTATTTAAATATTATTTCGAACGCAAGTATAAATTGCAGAGTGGGTAGAGTGGGTGGGGCTTGTCATTGATTGATAGCATCGTTCAAATCGAGTCTCCTCAAAATGTTTCGTGGCCTCGTGCTGTCTTCTAATACTTCAGAATGCATAGTAGAAGCCCCTGACATAAGTAGTGACCACGAAATTTTGGTAGTCCTGGATATCCCACGAGTACATTACCTCGTGAGTAGAAAGATAGGAGAAGACTTTGTCCTTAAGCTTAATATTATAAAGGACCTTAGCTATTTCGTCAATTGAAATCTCTTCGTCTGTCTCTCTGCAAAAGGAAAAGGAAAAGGAGCAGAGAGAGAGAGAGAGCGACCGCGAAGCAGAGGAGTCATCAGCGCAAATGGTTTATTATGGTACTATTACAGTAGCCGGGCCACAGGATCTAGTTGCTGTAGTTCTTTAAGTCTGTGAGAAGTGAACACTAGGCAGCAAACATGCCTGATCTGACAGACAGAAATGACTATATCGTTTCGGCTATTGATGATGATCATGAATAAATATACGCTTATTCGGAGACACTTACATCTGGCTGTTACCTACATCTACCCGGATCCAATATACCCTATCCTGTTCTCTTTTAGTGTTTATGTATAAATAGAATGATCTTCTGATGCATTTCGTATTTTGATTTGTGCGACTTTTCGACTGTTTTCATTATTTTTAGACGCGCTTCTGATAGATCTCCAACGGAAATAGCCTACAGGGCAGCGGGCCAAGGGATCTCGTCTCATCTCTCTATCTCATGTGTTGGACGAGGTTATTGGTATCATTTTAATTGAAAAATTAATTCATTAATGGGCGAAAAGTGTCCCCGAATTCCAAATTGAATTCCGGCTAAAAGGCGACGACATTTAAAGTGCTTCTAATGGTCGTCGGACGTGGATTGTCGCGTGATTAAATGTCAAAGTGGAAATGCCAGCCGTCTGCTCGGTTGGGCCCACGCTGCGTATGCTTAATGCCCCGTTCCCAGAGGCAAATACTCTATTTTCCCCACCTACTGTTTCGCCGTGAACTTGAACGTCGAAGAAAGAAAGCCCGAGAGAGAGTGGGGAAAACACTGCCGGCCAAAGCAGAAGCCAGACAAAATACATTTCAATCTCCGAGCGCGTGGGTGTCCTACAAGCGTACACATATATACATACATCATACATCGTATGTGTATGTGTGGTGGAATATATAGTAGGGGGATCGCATCGGTTTTTGTGTGTGTATCGTATATTCAGCAAAAAAGGTAAATTAAATGCAACAAAGTTGCACAGAAAATTGAACACTGTGATAGGGGAAGGGAAGGACAGAAAGGCTGATTCAAGGCTCAATTAAACTGCTGCGAAATTGATTATATTCTCTCACCTGATAACCGAATACCAACTACGGTCTGCTGCCTACCATCTACTGTCTACTGTCTTCAGTGTTCAATTCTATTCTATTTTATTCCGTGACGTCAATACCTTAATACCTTATCACACGCGGAGTTTCAGTTCTCTTTGGCTGCTCTGCTCGTCTGCGTATCGTCTTCGCTAGATCCCTACCCTTGTACATAGGCTGGCAATCTGTTAGCTTTTGGTAAGACGTTTGCTGAGAGTTTCCTACGAATAAATGCTCTGCGCTCTTTTTGGCAGAGAGCGAGCTCGCGTTAATTTTATTTTGGGGCGTAATTCCAATTTCCTTATCAATTGTAAACAATACTGCGGCGGACCTCCACCGATAACCGAACACATCGAAAAACACCGACAGAAACTACGACGTCGTCTGGGTGGCTCGATAAGGCCGTAAAGCACATTGGAACCCATGTCGGTACATGTGTAGGAATAAAGTGGAAAAGCACTTGACATCGGACATGTGCCACACGGATTAATGTAATGATGGAAATTACAATGCAATGCCCAGAGATAGCCTTTGACTGAACTAGTGCTTTCTCTAGGGTTTTCCTGGGGTTGATCGTGAAACCCACCTTCAGGATCGCACTCCTCCAGGACCCCCGCATAGAGGGGCATGCTGACGGGGCTGCTGTTGCCGCTGTTGTCATTGCCGCTGCTAGTTTCCGCGGCATGGTTCGTGTTGTAGTTGGAGGCGACAACGTGGTTCTGAGCCTGCGTGGGATAGGGGAATACTTCCGGCATGTCACAGTCCGATGGTGAAAGTCCATCGGTGGAGAGAAGCGACGCCGCCGCCGCTGCCGACGGGGGCTGGCGTGGCGGAGGAACTGCTGGCTGCTGCGGCTCACACGCGGCGGCAGCGTACGGTGCCTGGGGACGGATGCAGCCCGCGCTAAAGACACTACCCTCGTCGGTGACCGTCAGCTGGAAATTCTTGTGCGTCCCCCGGCGGGCGTCGAAACTAACGCTCGAGTAGGTGATGCCGCTGCCCTGGCCACTAGGCGCCGGGCCGGCGGTGATGTCGATCGCGGACTGGGCGCCGCCGGTCGGCTGGCGCAGCGTGAGATTGAGCGAGGTGAAGCTCTTGCGACCGGGCGAGACGGCAGAGCCTGGGGAGCCGGGCAGCGTCGGTGGCGTCAACGCTGGCGAGAGGGCACTGCTGTTGCTGAGGAAATCGCGTGCATACGGCAGTTCCGGCTGCAGATTGATGACTGAACGGTGTCGGACCGGAGAGGCCTGTTGAGACGTTGTTGCTGTCGCTGCCGTTGCTGCCGCTACTGCTGCTCTTGTTGCTGACGTCGGTGATGATAAGGAGACGGCGTTGAGTGAGAATTCCGATTCGCTGGAGCTCATGGGGCTGGTGAGGCAGGAGGAATCGTTGGAGAAGCTCGGCTTTGGGGCCAGCGGCGGGCCCGGTGGCGGCGGCAGGGGTGGCGCCCGACGCAGCGGCTTGTTCAGCGACGTGGGCGTCAGCTGCGGTGGCTGCAGGTCGCGCTGCTGCCGCAGCTGTCGCTGTTGGATCTTCTGCTGCAGCTGGGCGTTCAGTTGGCGCTGCAGATTGAGCGTGGTTGGTCGCTGCCGGGGCTGGGGACTCGGACTGTGAGTGGGGCAGGGGCTGGCCTCGCCATTGCCATTCCCATTCCCATTCTGGCTCGGACTCTGACTCAGTTCTGGGGGCTGTGCGGGTGCCACTCTCGACGGCTTTAGTGGGGTGGGAGGCTTGGCCTGCCTCTGTTGTTGCTGTTGTTGCTGTTGCTGCTGTTGCAACACCTTGGCCGGGTAGCTCTGGACAGGTATCGGATGCAAAGCCAGTTCCTTCTTCAACATCTGTATACAGTTCTCGCGCTGATGGCAATTCTCGCTGACGCACTGCGTCACAATGGCATCGGGTATCGTGGGGAACTCCTGCTTCATCTCGTGGAACAGGTGCATGATACTAATGTTCGTGCAGTGGCAGGACGTGCTCTGCTTGCGGCCTGCCTCTGGCTCTGCTTCTGCTGCTGCCTCTGCTGCTGCTGGCTGTGAATGCTCCAGCAGCTCCAGCTGCTCATAGCTGCCGCAGCGACTCCTCTGACTTGTCGATGGAGCGGCGTCCTTTTTCCTCAGAAAGTGCTGATGGATTGCCTCGGTTATATTGTTGCTGCTGCTCCTTCCTCTGGTATTTCCTTCTGCTGGAAGGCTACTGCTAGTGATGCTGGTGCCATTCAATTGGTAACTGTTTGATCCGGGCGGCATTGGTGGTGTAGCCGCCATTTTAGGCCATCATTTGTCACAGCTGCAGACCTTCGGAAGGAAAGAGAGAAGGGGGAATCAGTCAGGTAATGCCACTTATTTAATTAGTATCTGCCCCCGCACTCGGGTGCGAGTGTTGCATGCGGTGCGGGTGAATCCATGGCCCGATTTAGAACATTAACTAAGAGGCTTTAAAATGTATTGTTTTTAAAAAACAGAAACAGCCAAGAAAAAGAGAGGGAGGGGGCGAGAGAGGGAGATCTCTTGGGTATGTTTAAAAATATTTATGACACAACGATCGATGTGCCATATTGCCTATATCTCTGCTGCTCTCTCTCGACTGCCGACTGTCGGCCATTGTCAAGGATGGCAGTGATAAATAATCCGTTTCCCTATATAGTACACAGAAACAATCTACCAGATATATGTATGAATATACATACATACATATGTACATATGTATATGGTATTGGGCGCCTCTTCAGGTTCAGGTATAGATGAAAGCATATCTATAATACGAGGAGTACTCGTAAATGTATCTGTATCCACTTCAACTTACATTTTGTCGATGAAAACTGATAAATAGGATTCCCAACGCGATCGATAATCTGCCAATTTGCTCATATATTTATTCACAAGCTTGTAAAATATGGTTTTGGATTTTCTTTAAAAGTAAGGCAAATTATTCTTTTAGGTATAGGTATTTTATATTAATTTGTGTGATTTGTCTTGTTTTAATGCACTTTTTTGTTGCTAATTTTTCAAAGTTTGAACTTAAACTTTAACATATTTCAAATTATTTTCTTCTAATCGTTTTTCTCGATCGCTTTTTCACACACACACAAATTTAAACACTCTTGATAAATTGTATTTCCATTTCCTATGTTTTTTCTTTGACTTTAATCGAGAAAATCTCACGCAGTTTTCCACACAACAATATATCTTTCTTTCGATCAAATTTTGTGCGCGTTTCGAACGCCTTAAATGCCAGCGATAAACTGAAAAACCAAATTTCGTAAATTTTCGAGAATAAAACGACCGAAAATGCTGCGAGGAAAATGAGCAGAAAACACATAGATACTCGTGCACTGGTACATCGTCTCTGCTATCTGTGTGTGAAAATGTTTGGGAGAGCGCTCTAGCGTAAGCAAAAAATCACGAGAGAAGACGAAAAACAGAAAACGGGGAACCAAAGCATACCCAATTGGATACCCTCACAGATCGCTGCCACTCGATACTAACTAACGGGACTGAACGAACAGAGTATCGTCGTTTTTTTTACGTCGGTGTTGCATCCGAATATCTTGGATTGCCGATTCAGGAGTCATGTGACGAGTGAAGCAATGATTCGGAAAGCATTCAATATGCAGCTGTGATCTTATGAATACCTACTGTGAATTCTAGTACGCACTCTAATACAAGAAACCAATACAGAACGATCTTTCATATGGTAGCTACATGATATAGTCATTCGATACGGTCTTTTTATGACTGTTTTGTTCAATATCCCCAAATCAAATCGAATTGTGGTTAGAATTAAATTAAGGCATATTGTAGACAGTACTAAAAAACAGAAGAGCAACCGCAGCGAATCAATTAAATCATTCAATATTTTTGCAGCACAAATTTTAATTTTGTTTTATTGTATACATACACACTTGATCATAATAATAGGTACACACATCTACGTACACTTTAACATAACAAAATGCAGTTGTATTCAATATTTGAAACTTAAAATTAGTTCTCAATTATACCAATAGTATTTGTTTTCAATAAAATAAACTTTATTATATTATAGGATAATGTTATAAAAGAAAAGAGAGTAATTTGTACTTCAGAGTCAATGTCAGGCTGCTCAAAATAATAGGTACACTTCAAGTTTTGTTATGAAAAAAGTTTGTTAACTGATTATTATTATTTTTTTGTTGCCTAAATGGGACTTATAGTTAATATCCGATGTATCCACCTTTATTTTTTGTCACCTTTGTAATTATTTTTGGCGTACTTGTAATAAGCGTCTGGCAGGTGTCTCATACCACAATTTTTGGACGCCCTCGCATAATTTTTGATTATTTGAAAATGAAAACTTAGCTAATTTTGTTTCGTAAATCTGCCCACAAGTTTTCAATTGGATTTAAGTCGGAAAATTTAGGAAGCCACTTTAAAACGTCTATTGTTGGGTCCTCAAAAAAGTTGGTCAAAAGCTTAGATGTGTGCCTTGGGTCGTTATATTACTTAAATACCCAATGGAAACTCATGTTTTCTTCAGCATAAGGTAGCATAACTGTCTGCAATCTGGGTTTGTATTGCCCAGCGTCCATTCTGTTCGTTGTCAGGAAAAATGGACCTACGCCGTACCAGGATGAGCAGCCCCATGTCTTTAGCTGGCACCTCCATGTTTGAGAAATTTTTTGTTTGAAACATGGATCAAAATTCTTTTGTTTAGGGCTTCCTACATTGCTTTCACATTCATTCCCTAATAAATTTATTTTAGTTTCGTCGCTCCATAAAAGGCTTCTCCACTTTTTCTCTCCGGCGCATCCTGCGCAGTCTTTATGATCTTTAGCAAAAGTTTGCCCCATGGCTAAATTTTTTTGACGCGTAAGTGGGACCTTTCTTTCTATTCTCCTTGGAAGGCTGGCTTGTTGTAGCCGTCTACGGATCGTTGGAGCACTAACTTCTAGTGCAATTTCTGATGCAATAGCCTTTGACGACTTAAATGGGTACTTATTCCTCCAAGAAAAGTATGTAGTGGTCAAGTGTTATGGTTGTTTTCTGTGGCTTTCCGCGAGTTTCCTGACTAGGTTTTAATTTTTAAAGCATTGTAACAAAATTATGAGACGTTTTCATTAATCTGGCAATGGCCCGATAAGATTGGCTTTCTTTTTCCAGACTAAGAGCCAATTGGGCTGTACAATAAGACTTTCGGCCTATTCTTGTAAGAAAAAAATAATTATTTGTTTATATTTAGACTGTTGTTAAATGAAATGGATGTTTAATTGCCAAAAAGTCAAGAATTTCCAAATTATTCACTTGATATTCAAAATTTACTGACACTGTACCTATTATTTTGATCAGCCATAATGTGATGTCAACTCGCAATTTCGCTTAAAGCTCTGTTATTCGGCGGTTTCCCTGTTTAATTTTTTTTGTCACGGAACTGCAATACATTGACAAATAAAACATACCAAACAAAATTTTGTTTTCAACACTTAAAGTACGATAAAACTAATTATTAATGAAAAGCTTCAAGGTGTACCTATTATTATGATCAAGTGTGTATGTATGTACATATGTCTCTCTCTCTCTTTATTTTATAAAAATAAACTTTTGTGTGGGTGTTGCACAAACACAACGAAAACCAAAGAAATTGAATGAAATATTTTATATATGTATCTGTATATCTGTATCTTTGAATATAGAAAACAATCTGCGCAAAATTAATGATATTTTGTTCTGAGGTGAAAGAGTTAACAGAAAAAGAAGCAAAGACCCATCAAATGGGATCAACATTTAATTGCCGGCCAAATGAAAAACGCTTAGATAAACCCCTGGCTTAGCCAAGTTATTCCAAAAAAAAGAAACGCCCTCGCAGCGGCATCGGCGGCTCACCTGTTCTCCCAGGAGATGGCGACAAGCAAAAACAAAAAAAAAAATGGAAACTAGAAGAAACTCTGACAAAATGAATAAAAACAAACAATAAGCCCCAAAACAGAAACAGAAGCAGAAACAGAACCATGTCCGAGGGTGAAAGAGATGCAAATAAATTATAAAATATAGCACTTAATTTGCAAGCGATGGCGCCATTAAAATTGGCCACCAAAGCATAAATAATAAATTATGAATGTATTTCAGTTTAGTTGTTGTTTTTTGCTTCCCCTGTTGTTCATTGTTTTCCAGCTTTTCTTTTGTATACCCTTTAGGATATAGTATGCAGACAGGGTATTACGACTTTCTGTAGATGTTTATGTGGTGCCTGAGCAGATAGACTTCAGTTACAATTTGTAGGCAGTTAGTCCGATGACCCGAACCTGTTGCTAATTCGACGAATATCCAAAGAAAAGGCCAGATCCAAGCTTCATCTTCACGGGTTCTTTCTCCATCCTCAGGCCCAAACAGTAGCGGCGTCGGAATGGTTTAAAAACCCCCTCAAGTCTGAGGACACCAGACCTAGATTAAAAGCAGTGTTTCAATATCAGAGCTATATCGAATCATATCTCATACAAAATCTGATCCAATATCAATATGCATCTTCCATCGTAACTTCCATAAGAGCAACCGATCGGCAAGGGATCCAAAACTAAAGAGACTCAAAAAATCGACCCATCTTTTCCAGCACATTTTTGTTTATTTTAAAACACAATATTCTTCGACGGAGTGGAATGGCAACATTTTCGAGATCCGTGCGAAATTAAGAAGTCATTAAAGATGAGAAAACCTCAGAGAATTATGAAGAATAATTCCTCTTGAAATGTGGCTTTTCCATTAAATAAAATTCCAACCCTTCCCCGCCTCCGCTCATCTGTAGGAGGGGTGGCGTACTTATGGGCTGGTCGGCGGGCATTGGATGGGATGGTATAGGATGGGAGATGGGCGGAACACGCAAATTGCGATCTGATATTTGAAAATATTTAGCATATAAATATAAACAAATTCTCTTCCACTTTTTTTGTTGGTTAGGAATTTTTCGAGGGGTAGAAAAGAGATCAAATTGAATGGAGGGGGTTGGGGGTGCGCGGGAGCGGGAATGAAAATTCATTTTGTGTGCTTTTCCTTCGTGTTTTCTTCGTCTGCCTTTTGTAGCGGGTGGTAGCAGACGCAGCAACAACAAGAGCCATAGAGAATGGCAGGCGATCGACTGCAGACGTAAACGACCTTCACAATTAGCCAGATACACACACACAGATGCAGATACACCCACAGATTCACAGATAAATAGATAGAGATACGAGATACAGAGGCAGGCAGATAGGAGATATGTATATATACATATGTATGTACATATAAATGTTAGAATGCAGAATCGGAAATCGACGTCAAATATATTGCAATCTTTGCTCTCGCCCTTCTTCTCTGTTATAAAGAAGAAACTGAGATTACACGTGTGGAATGATAGGTAATATTATAGATACAGACATCATATGTAATCGTATTCGTACACGCCATTTACCTGTACCTGTGCACGTTGCGTTTCGGTTCCATCAGACAGCTGTTTCGTTCACTTTTTGAGTAACGAGATGAATTATCAAGTTATCAGACTGCAGATTACGGAACATAGTTTAGACTATCGGATAATAAAAGGAATCACAGATGTGTTTTCGGAACCAATTAAGAGGTAAAGATAAGGTAAAACATATTCTAGGGCAAAGAGAAATAAAAAAAAAAACAAGATAGAAGTGGAGTGCAACTCTGCTGCAATGCTTCTTCATCTCTGCCTGAAAAACTTTAAACTGTAACTCTCGCCATCGCGAGAGACGTTATGTATCGGTAAAGATACGAGTATATTATCTGTATGAGCAGAAGATGGGTGAAAAGCAGCATACATTCCCAGTAGGTATTCTTAGAGTTTCGAAACGCACTGTACCCAGCGTTTCAAAATCTTATATGTAGGTACAAACGAAATGATGCTTCAGGTAAATCATCATTTGTCTTCTTCCCATTTGGTACTTTGGTTTGTTTTTTTCGTGTGTTTTATTTCGAGGACACGCAAAAACAAACATAAAAGTTGTTAAGAAATAATAACAATAAAAATAAATACAAACACAGAACAACAACAATTTCGCATTGTGTGCCAAAAAAAAAAACATAAAACAAACACACAAAATGGAAAAAACTATGGGGAAAACACACAACAAAAACAACAAAAAGTTTACAATCATTAAAATTATGGCAGCGCTCGGCCCATGGATTGTTTAGGATCCACAACGTGGATCATGGATTGCGTGGGTATTGTAGATTGTAGGTGGGAAGGGGACGGGAAATGGAAATGGAGGGGGAAACTCTTGTAATTAGTGGAACGAAATTTCCATTCATTAAATTAGAAAATAGAAAAGAGAGCCAGCGGTGAAGGACGTAGTACATCACAAATTGGAATGATATGGGGGATTTTCCCCCATTTGGTCAAGTGTAGTGGGATATATATTTAATTAGGGCCGATGGAAAACAGAGCAGCGCAAACTATTAAATACATCGTTCGATATTATTCACACGACATCGATCAAAAATCATCTAAACTGATTATAAACAGGAGTAGAATCTGTCAAAGATCGATTTACGGTTTGACACGGTCATTAAAGTATAAATGATTTCCTTTGGCTAACGATCCCCAAATATCATATTTTAAACTGCAATCGACTCATTTCAGGATTTCATTTTAATTTACAGTCCCACAGAAGGCCACGAATCCCAATGTCCATCAAACAAATCAATCTGATAACCGAAATCTAAGGGAATTAATCGAACTGTCAGTCCCCCCCCACCGAAGGCCAGGTTTTCGTCCCAAAGCGATTTCAGGAGAGGAGGAGTATCAGTGTTGCATATTGACCGGAAATCTCGCTGTCTGGTGTGTCAAAAGTAGAAATAATTATAAATAATTTTTTGGGGAGGGGGAAAAAACGAAATTACCGAAAAAATAGATTTCTAAAGGAACTACGTACCAAAAAACCTATCTCCTCCTCCACTTCTGTACTTTCGGAACACAAAACACATGGACGGACGACAAAGGGAAAGAAAATGCGTAAAAACAAGAACTAATCGAAAAGTACAACAAATATACCAGAATAACAGAAAAAGAAGAAGCTGCAGTAAAAAATAAATAACATGGAAAACAACTTTCACTTTTCTTGTGGGAAAGACAACAAATATTTGGAATTTAACGCAAACTGAGAGAGAGAGAGAGAGAGAGAGAGAAGGTAGAGGGAGAGAAGAGAGAACGATGGAAATTGTGAAAATTATAAATCAAATGCAGGGGACAACATGAAATCGGTGGAATGAAGGCAGAACGCAGCGCTGAAATATAAAAAGAAAGAAAAACCAGAGAGAAATGAAACAAAAATAATTTTATTTTGTACATTATTTTTGTGCTCTGCTTTTCTTTTCCTCCCACTCTCCACTGCGCCTTCATCGTCTCTCTGTTCTCCGCCGTTCACTTCCCGTCCCAACCCGTCTGCTTGCCAATAATTTGAAGAGGCGTTTTGCGGAATTTTGTGCAGACGTCAGGCCTTGGGACTGACGTCATTGGCGCGACTTTTAGAATTGGAAATGGAAAAGCCATGGCGGCACTGGGGATGGGGAACGGAACAGGAATGGAACTCCTGCCCTATCCAATCCGCGTAGTGCGAAAATAAAAGCCAATAATACTATATATACGGGTTATTTATTTATTTATGACCGATCGCCCCTCACTCTCATTCTCTCTCTGCGTGAGGATGTGCTTCTTCACAGATCTGCTCTGTTCTGTTCGGAAATATGCAAATAATCAATATGGAGTTATTTTTAGGCGAAAAGGTGTGTTCCCTGGAGGGGTTCGGTTCCATTAGAGAGAGGTTTCACTATGCTTATCGCTAGGGAGAGGGGGACATACTGTCATAAAAAGTAAACCCAATTTTATGCAGAAAACTGATAAGATTGATTATACTCGAATTCGCCTTTTTGGTGGGAACTTTTCAATGAGTACGGAGTACGGATGGAAATGGAAAGTTTTCGATAGTCAGTCCCCCCAACTTTAGGGAGAGCAGAACCCCAGATTAGCATATTTTTCAGAATTTCATTGTATATGTTGGTACCTCTAGTATATTCGTACTATCAACTCTGTTCATTCCGGGAGTTTCCCGCAGAAACAACAACTATACAAAGGCGTAATATGAAATGGCAACAATTACGAATACACGTACAACTCGTACAACAGCGACACAGATACAGATACAGAATCTGTTCGCAGCAGCAAAAGTGCAAAAGTTTTGTAAACTTGTTTTCCTAATACGAGCCCAAAAGAAAAAAAAATTAATAAAGAGTGAAAGAGAATCTATTTTTATTGATAAGGTGCTACAATCTCAAGAAAGTTACATTTTGGAGTAACGAAGATAAGATATCCTCTGGAAGTGGGGGGCTGGCACCTGAATCTTCATTTCAATCTAACCCCCATACCCGCCTACTATACGATATCATACATACATACATATGTTTGTTTAAATGTCGAGTTCCATTGAGATTGGATTCTTTCTTCCTAGCCGTTTCTATGAAACTTAAGAATCCAATTATAAGCCAATGATGTTTATGAGAGCAATATACTATAATTGGACTGGGTTTTAACTGTTGGAAATATATGTATATGAGTTGGGAGCTACAATAGTGCCTAACTGTCAGAGTAAGCGGAGAGAAGAGATCGCAATAGAATCAAACTCCACTGGCACTTCTGATCGGGAATAGGTGTGCCCTGCTTTCTCTGGAAACCACAAAAACACACGCACATGAAAAATCAATATTTGTACTTTGCGATTAGCAATTAGGATAATGGGGCAGGAGAGGGGTGAATGAGGAAGGGGTGATGAAAATCGAAGCGATATTTGGACTATATTTCCATAAGAATTAAGGCCATGACGATGGATGGTGGATCCCCTCGCTCCAACCATTGAATTGACAACAGTTGTTCTGTTATCAACAGGCGGAAATATACACACTCTCACTCTCGCCCACACTCGCACTCTCGCACACACACACAAAGACGCACATGCATGCCAAATACACAGTTACGTGCACTGAGCAGCAACGGCCAAATGGGCGTGCGAAAGGGACACGTAGATCGTCGAGTCGTCGTCTGTGCCAGTGTTAACGGCACCAGAGAGATAAAAACCAGTGTGGGAGCGAGAGAGAGCGAGTATACGAGAGCAGCGCATAAAGACAGGTGACATTGGCAGCGCGCGACGGCGGCACTACGCAATAGTAGATAAAAAGCAAAAACGTCCAAAAATGAACGGTAAACGATGGGGAAATCAACCCTACCCCCCTCCTCCAACAGACGCATGCACAACTTGTTGCATATGTGTAAAGGTATTTTTTTTTCGTATGCGTGTGTGTGTGGATGTTGTTTTTACGAATTTTGTTTTTGGGGAAAAGCAGCTGCTCGGGCTCCTCTACCCTTCTACTCCTCCCATAATTGCAATTTACCAGACACTTTTATGTGGATGTGGGTCTGTGCAAGAGATCCTGCTCTCTCTATCTCTCTCTCTTTGTTTAAAAATTTCGATGCCCTTCCACCCACTCACCAAAGGAATTTAATATGTGGCACGTACAGTGAAGTTCCTGGTGTTGATGCCTTTGCAGAGAATCCGTATTTTAGCATTAAATTTGTATTCTCAATATTTTTGTGGCTTTTGGCTTTGGCCCCCTCCCCTTTCACTGTTGTTGTTGGCTTGACTTTCTATGGCTTCTCCCTTGTTTCGTTTCGTTTCGCCTATCGCACTCAATTCCACGCACAGTCCCACTCCAACGCACTCGTTTTTTATATTTAATGTTGCACTAAATTTAATAATTTATTGTAATTTTTCACGGAGCAGGCGATCGCGATCGCGCGAATGTTGATATATCAATATATCGATATATATTTTTGATAATATATTTGTAGTTAGGTGATTTTAGCCGGCAAAAATATTAAAATTAATCTTTTGTGGGATTTATTATTTTCTGATTTCAAGGTGAATCGACACTATTTTGTTCCCCTACTTTTACATTTCATCGAATAAAAGGGTAGCTTCTAGAATATATCGATAGTTTCGTGCGATAAGCGGAACCAATCGGCGCCAAGAACAACGGCCCATGTATTCTTGCCACAAACATGCGAGGATTATATACCAGGATTATATATAAAAAAAATCAGGATAAAAACTATCTACGAAGCTAAAGCATCGTGTTAATGGGATTTGGAAATCATCCATGGTCGGTTCCGTTACTTTATCTGTGCCTGCGCAAATGAATGTACCTAGTGGCACTATCGGATAATATCGGATGATCGACTAAAAACGGTTACATGTATATTTTCTACCTACGCAAGGAAATATTAGTGGAATTATTTACTAACTGTTATTTATCGTACTCTTTGTCCTTTGTGACGTTTGAACACCTCATAAATAATATATAAATATATTTTTTTCAGTGCAAGGTGTGACCAGATGTGCAGGCTGTTTCCTTACAAATAAAACAGGTACATATTTAAATTTTGTAGGGAAGCAAGCCTTAATAAGATTAAACTTGTCTTCATTATGCCAGTTTCTAGCCGACTGGCACTTTCTCGTTTGCTTCCTTCAAGATCAGAATATACAATTTTTGCTTTGTCAATATGTATCGTTGCTTTTCCAGTATTAATCGGCTATTTATTTTGCTGATCTAAGTAGTCGTCAGAAAAACGCCTGCTACAAAATTTAGCATAGATTGAAATGTTTTTGTGTTTATATCGTTTCCATTCGAATATCATTCCTGATTCGATCGATGGATTTTGCTGATATAAGTACTAGGCTTTAATATTAATAAAAAATATATTCATGTCAACAGATCTGGCCGATGTTCATTACGATATGAAATGATATTTTTGTAATATCAATATCGATATATTCTTGACAACAACAAGCACAAAACCAACTTTTGCGCGCAATTATTTATTTTTTGTGTATTTTTATTTCTTGTAAAACCCAACCTTGTGTAAAAATTGTATTTAGCGTGAATAACATTGAGAGAATGCTCAACTAGAAATACGGCCGCACTAGAGCAGTCCAAACAGATAATAGAAGACGGGCAAAATAAGGGCCGCCTTGGCGCTGGAGACTCCCGAGATCCAGACGATCAGCTTGAATATTCCGAACCAGAACAGCAGCTGGAGGGCAACATGCAGACCGAGAAGACTGTCAAATATATTCGTTAGTATCCCGATGGAATTTGGAATATAGAATAGGGGTGCTATATGATCACTAACATTTTATCCTTGCGACGTGCCTTCTCCAGATTCTTGGGTGACTCCTTGCTGAGGTACTGCCGCACTCCGCGAATGGTGTTAGAGAAGTACTCGTCCCACGTCAGCTCGCCAATGTCAATGACGAACTTCTTCCTGTCTACCACGTCCATCGACTTGGAAAGGGCCAGTAGACGCTTGCTGTCAAAGTGCCATTCCGTGAAGATGAAGCGCTCCAGGGTGTTCAGCGAGTTCCACACGTTCTTGTGCAGCCTCATCAAACTGTAAGCAGGGGAAAATAAACTCTTATTCTAAGAGAGATCTCTGTGATACTCACATGGGACGGCCGCCGGAGATGCGGGTAACGATATCCAGGAAGAATGCAGGCACAAAGTGGAACAGTATGGCGCTCAGCCGAAAGACCCAGAGGCTCTTGACCAGCCGCAGATTAGGGTACCAGACGGCGCTGTTCAGAGGATAGTCGTGCAGATAGCTGTTGATCTTGTCCGCCATCAGATCGAAGCGGAAGGGCTTGTACGTGCTGGATGTCAGGTGGAAGATCTGCAGCTCGGCTGGACGGCCGGCGTTCTTCGCCTTGAGCGCATTGACATAGTACCCGGTGGTGATGATGCCATTGACCACCACATCGATGGGAATGTAGTCCATGATGATGCTCGGATCTAGGGGCAGGCGGCGTAGCACTCCCTTGGAGGCGCCCATAAAGAAGCCTTGGGGGCCGTTCTTCGAGATGGTCCACCCAGGAATGGGTTCCTTCCAAGCCGCCGTGACTGAAAGTATAAGTTTCTATATCCGAAAAGCGTAGAAGCCCCGTGTGTCTGTCACTCACTCATGCTGGGGCGGACAATGCCGCAGGGAAAGCTACTGGCCGCATTGGCCACCTCGTGCTCGGCCAGGTGCTTGGTGAAAGTGTACGTATTCGGATGATCCTTGAGCAGTCTGTAAAAGATTTTCGTACAATTGTAAAATAATCCAATTTCAGGTACTCACTTCTTTTCGAGTGCCTTTAGCGCCTCGTCGTTGAGGGTTTCGGCCAGCTGTATGATCTTCTCGGGATCGTCGGGCGAAGGATAGAGCTTCTCCTCGACCTCTGTCAGATAGGCGTTCACATAGGCGCTGGACACATGGACCAGCGAATCCAGTTGCTTCAGCTGCTGGCACAGCTCCACCACGCGTCGTGTTCCCTTCAGATTGATGTTGGTCGTCTCCTTGAGGGACTGAAAGAAGTCCAGGGTGGCCGCCGAATGGAACACCACATTTACATTATCGATCAGCGTCTGGCGGTCCTTTGGCGAGATTCCCAGGTTGTCCAAGCCCACATCACCCTCAATGGGGACGATCTTCGTGAGACGCGACTCCAGCTGCATCTCCTTGAAGCGATCAAAGACAGAGTTTTTCTTGAGCTCCTCGAGCCTCTCCTCCACGCTCTTTCCCTTCTTGGCGCGCATCAGCAGATACAGGTTGCCCACCTTGGGCACATCGCGCAGCAGCTTCTCCACAATGGTGACGCCCACGAAGCCAGTGGCGCCCGTGATGAACACATTGCGCCCCGCATAGAAGTCTGTGATGGAAGAGCTGAAAAATTGTAGGAACACGTTAGTCGCAGTCGTTATCGTCTCTCTTCCCTCAATCTGTGTTTATATAACAACTGCCTCTACATGTATTTTCAGATGCCATAAAATGAAAATTAACTCTCATCAAACTTTCTCTCATCTCCCATTCAAATGGCAGTGGCTGCTGGCGTTGCGTCGTGGCAAACTTACGAAACCCCAAGCGACTTTGTGGACATCTCCGACTGGATTCCAAGGCAAAACCTGTTTCCCGCGTGAGTTGCTAGTTCTAAGTTACTGCTGATTGTGGCTCTTCTAATATTGATCTAGCTAATGATTTGTTAGCAGGTGCCGGGTGTCGGTTTTCGGGTCACTGCCAATACTCGTACTGTTCAAATCCAATTTGTGGGCGTCCCAGTTGACTCTAGCCTAATGGTGCATTGCCTATTGTATTCGGCTGCACTCAAACCTGTCATTTGATTAAATAACATGTCAAGGAATGCATTTAGAAACTGAAGAATTAAAGGCATAATTCAGTCATGAGATCTTTGGAACTTTATTCCATACAGATTTATTTGTAATGCTTAAATTAATTGCTTAAAGGCTGTTGCCGTCAACAGACAGACATAACTGATCGACCATAGCCTTTTCCTGTAAGCTACACTGAAATATTCGGCATCCCAGCGTATTGCCAAACCTTTTCCCCGTCAAACAACGAAAGGCACACGCAACTTGATCATTCAATTAGCCAACTCCAAGCGCATTTTTTCTTTTAATGATCTGCAGTCCGCGCCATCTCAAATTTTTTGTTATGCCAAATGATTTTATAATGATGATCATTGAAGGGGATCGAATCTCTGTTTTTCCCCTCAACAAATGCGTGATATAATTTCTACATAACAAATCCCATATAAAACTCGAAGAAATGCAACATTCCCTATATGTATGTACATATATTGTAGTATTTATATACAAAAATAATGCAAATTTCCGCATGCAGTCACAGGCGAGGCCCTGAAGGTCTTTGCAGGTCCATAAAAAAGGCGTCAAGTCATGGTTAATGATTGCATGTTGCCCCCTGGCGGCCTCTTGTCAGAGATTGCTGTCTAAACTAAATTGAGCTTTCACTTTGGAGCAGCTACTACCCGAAACAGAAGGGAAACGAAGCAGGCGGGTGACCCGATCCAAAGACAGTCAGAAATGTGTTGCCTTGTCTTTTTCTGTCTTTGATCACATTCAGTGCTGTGGTAAATTGGGTTGCTTATCTGGCTGATACCATGCACTGTCCGTTACTCTGATTAGATATACCATCTGGTCAGTGGCGCGGCTTATCTTGGGTAATTAATTGCTGGGATTTACTGTATTGGCGGAGGTGCTACTTGAAATTTGTTTCAAATTATACTTTGGTTCGGAAACAGTGCTGGGAAGCCACTCAACTATTCTCAACACTCGATGTAAAAAGTGCATATGGAACCATAGGCTGTGCACGTTTTAATTACATTTAATAACTATACGAGTATCAGTACATATAAATTTAAAAGCTATTCCCACCTCAGCAATTAAGGAACCCTCGACTCAATCATCGTCTGTTTGCCTGTCTGCCTGGATAACTGACCCTACCAACTGTGGCCAACCTTGCGGTGGCCAATAAATCTCTGGCTTACTCTTGCGATTATTAATGAACGTTCGAAAAGAGTATGTTGCTAAAGGTGCATGTAATTGTATGTAATGGATCATGTTTTTCAACTTCCCTCAGCTACATATGACAACCTGTAATTTTCCGCTGGATTTTCTGACGACTGCAAAACGGAACCATTTACGTCATCTCTGGCTTGCTGCACCAGAGAACTACAGATCTGTGGATACACTTCCCTTCCCCACTCGTCAGCAAGGAAAAAGGCAAGGCGTCAACAGGTCAAAGTTTGAGTAGAGACTGAAGAATGCAATCGCTCTCTCTGTAAACACTCCCTCTCTCAGAGAACACAGTCGACTCTTATGTGATGGAGAAGAAAGTGTCGAGAGATGCTAATGCAATGGAATAACGAAAAGTTGTTGTACATTTGCGTTGCGGCTGCTCTTTTAGAAACAATATTCCAAGAAATGCATTCGAGTGGATGTCAAAGATCGTGCACAAATAGATTTAAATGCATGTTTCTTGGCAGATCTGCCGCATTTCGAACTTTGCACCAAATATCTAACCTCAATAGCAGCTTTCGAGCGGAGAAAAGAGAAAAATTTGGCCGAAAGTTGTCAAACGGGCTACCAAAAAACACACACACACACGCCGCTGACAAGTCGGGTCCACGATCGGGTCTTGCATTGTTTAAGACACATTGAGTAACACTACTTACCTGGCCATAATTTCTGCAGGTGTACGAAATAGATATCTATCTATCTATCTTTCGGCTGCTGTTGCCTATCGCTGGGTTTAGAGCCTAAGATCGTTTGCAAATCGATCTAGAATGGGTTCAATTTTTCTTTCCTCCAAACACGGCCTTCTTTCGCTTCCACTCTTTCTGCTTGTTGTTCGTTTTGCTTTGCTTCTTTCGTATGTTTTCTCTTCTCCTGTCCAGATGTTGATGCGACTGTAAACAAAATACAAACACAAATGCAGATGCACGCGTATTGGTAACCGTATCTGCAGGTTTGTGTGTATCTGAGAAGTTACGATATCGGCTCGTTTTGAAACTGAATGGAGCGCTCGCTCTCCGCTCCCGGCAAAAGCAAAACTACGAATGATCGCTGGCTGGCTACGCTACCATATGACGATATAATGATGATCGTAGCCTAAGCATAACGTGATCGTTATTAGGCATACCTCTCTTTGGTGGCCTAAGTTGTTTGTCAACCGCTCTCTCTCTCGGTTTTAGCGCTGTCCCTACCCTTAGGATGGTATACCAAACTTAATAAAAACGCAGACCAGCTAAGAAGGCTCGGGCCAGATAGAGGTCCATGGATAAGGGTATATCCAGAAGTATAGGAATTTTGGGGACAAATCGGGTTTGGATTGGTTTATTTTCTTGGCCAGCTCAACTGGAAAGCCATGTGAGGCATATATGTATATCTCTCGCGCTCACTGCATGGCTCTTCCCATTAGGCCTTTCCCATAGAACCTTGTTAACAGCGAACAAGATTTTACATCAGAAGATTGCTAATGTCTACAAATGTACCAATGAAATGGTACATTCTACATGTAGTTTGTACCAATATCTAAAATATTCATGGCGCCACTGTTCATGTTGACTCACTGTAGAAACCATGTCACGCTTATGTAGATGCTATGTAATTTTTGAAAAATATTTTAAAGGATTTGATAAATGGGAATTAAAGCAGCGGTCGGCAGGCACACATTGCAGTGCGTTTGTGTGCTTAGACAGTAGGCAAAATAAAACAAAAAGTTTATTGTGTTGGTGCCAATTACTGTTCCACACGTGTAATCTAACCCTATGCACATAAGACAGAGCCTTGTAGACTCCTGAATAAAAGACAATGATCACAGGATAATGCATAAGATAAATAGATGAAAAATATATTTGATGCATAAAATAAACGGAATAGAACTGAAATTTTGGCAAGAAAGCAGTGTACATATATCATAAATCGTTTCGGGCATAGCACGAATCAGCCATTAGCAGCCATCTGTTGTATCGTGGAATAGTCAGTACACAATAGATTTTTCCTTAATGATAAAGTTGTCGTCTTTATTTGCATAATAGTTATACATTTAATTATTTAAAGTTTATTTCTCGTACTCTTCGACTATTTGACTATATACCGGATGATAATTACAAAACAATCTACAATCGTTTTCATTATATTTTCAGTTTAGTTCTGGGTTTTATTATTTTACATAGTTATTAATGTGACTAAGTTTTGGGCTACTTTTTGCATTGCTGTGTGAGAATAGATTGGTGTGGTCTTTTGTTTTTGTTTATTCTTCATATGATACAGTTTTTTTGTAACGTATGTTCAATCCGAGAATCGATCCGACGACCATTGACTTGTACTAGATTGTGTTAAGAGAAAGGACTTAAAAGTAAAATACATGGATACCCTACAAAGACAAACTACAATGGAAACGAACAGGATAACGGGAGAGTGAATATGGAGAAAGAGAAATATTGCACTGTCCAAGAGAGTCTGGATCAGGATCAGGATCAGGATTTGGATCAGGAGTGCGGGTGGTCCCCTACAGCCAGACGAGGAAGCCCCAGATGAGCACGGCCAGCGTGAGACCGATCTGTATGCCCAGGAAGGGGACGAGGGCAATGTACAGGACGGCAAAGATGACAGCATAGCCCGCATAGTAGAGGAAATTAAAGCTGATGTTTGGGAGGAGAAAGAGAGAGAGAGAAAGACTTGGATCAGAGAGAGAGCTCGGAGAGAAGGCCACTAGTCCTGGGTACTTACACCTTCCAGTAGTTGCGGTGCCATTCCGTTGTGACCGCAGACTCCTTGAAGTAGAAGCGTCGGATGCCTATGAGGCAGCGATCGATGAATTCCGACCAGTCGCACTGGCTAGCATCGAAGTTGTAGCGCCGCCGATCGCTCTCCGGGATGATGGCGGAGATGCGGAGAGCATTCTTCAGGGAGTACCGGAAATCCTTGTCCAGGAAGTAGTCAAAGGCCTTGGTGCCTTTTTGGAAGACGCGCATGTACTCATAGGCACTGAAAGAGAGGCAATCTGAGAACTGGGAGCAGGAGGTATTCTTCAGGCAGGTCCTAGCAGAATTCTTACGTGTGCTGTGGCATGCCAATGCCAAAGAGCTTCTCCGGAATTATAAAGACCATGGCAGGCAGCAAATGAAACAGATAGAAAAATAGATTGTAGCGCCAGCCGTTTCGCAGCTTGGTCAGTGGCTTCCACACGAAACTGTTGGGGGGATGCCGCTCCACGCTGTCGTTGATGATCGTGCAGAACTCCGACAGCGTCAGCGGATTCACTTCGCCCGAGGTGCAGTGGATGATCTCCGGCTGCTCCAGCTGTCGGGTCCCCACATACCAGCCCATGACCAGGGAGGAGTTGATCACATAATCGCATGGAATGATGTCAATCACGGCCGAAGCCTGGCCGCACATCGTCCGAAAGATTCCCTTAACGAAGCCGGCGAGGAAGCCCAAGTGGCCGGAGTTGGCATTGCCCACCCAGCCCTTCATCGGATGCTCCAAGGTGCCATACACTAGAAAAGCAATCAATTATAAATTGTTGTCGGTTCTGTTTGAATGTATAAATCGAACGCTTACCAATCGATGGCCTGACTATGGCCGCCGGAAGTCCTGACATCTCCGCCATCAGCAGGTTCTCGGACAGATTCTTAGTGAATGTGTACGTGTTGGGATGGTCCTGGATGTAGCCCTTGCACTTCTGCTGGGTGAAGTCCACCCAGGCCTCGTCGTCCTCGGCCATTTTCATCATGTCGTAAGGATCGAACTGTGACTTGTACACTTCCTCGGCGATCAGGCCGCGGTTGTTGCTGTTGCAGAAGGCTGTCGAGCAGTAGATGTACGCTGACAGATGCTTCAGCTGCTTGGCCAGCTCGATGGTCCGCATCGTGCCCGTCAGATTGGTGCGGATGGCAGTGCGCAGCGGGGAGCTGAACTTGATCGTGGCCGCACTGTGGTAGATCACGTGCACGCGATTGATCAGCTCCTGGAGCAGATCCGGGCCGAAGCCGAAGTTCGGCTCGCTCAGCTCTCCCACGACAGGCACTACCTTGGCCAGGGTTTTCTCCGCGTACTTCTCGAAGATCTGTGCGGGAAAAAGCCGTTGTTTCGATAAGCCGTTTGCTTGTTTGTATCTGAGAGTCTACAAATTATGCTTACTACTACTACCAGGGGGGGGGAACGGTTTTTTTTAAATAAATAAGTAATTTCCAAAACAACAAAAATCTGTGCTTGTTGCGCCATTAAAAAGTGCGTTTAAAACTATAATTAACTAATTGTTGTGAAGACTCGAAGGTAAAGAAATATGGCAAAGATAAATAGCTTGTACCGAAGTCTTAGATACTCTTACTGGTTCAAAGATTACAATAGATCCCAGAGATTCTTAATGCTTAATATAAAATAATCAGCTAAAACTACTGAAGTTTGTGGATTAAACTGATTGTTCGGATATCCCCACTAGCACAAAGCCATAACCTGGCTAACACTTTACCGATCATGGTTCAATTTTCTCTTTCATAAGCGGTGAGGGAGTGCGGAGTGCTTCTCTAATGGGAAATGGGAGATGGGTAAGGGTATATCAAAGTGAATAGAGACCCGAATAAAATCCCAAAGAAAGATATGTAGAAAACATGTGTGGAAAGAGGCGTGAGGCAGAAACCGCTAAGCAGACAAAGCGGAAGAGGTCGCGGTGGGTCTCCCTGTCTGCCCGTTCCCTTCGACCGGTTACGACTCTGACAAATTAACGCTCCATAAAGAGGCACGTAATTGGCTTTAATGATATACCCATGATGTCAGCGAGAGTGCCAAGGGGCGGGTATGGTCGTGACCCTTGGGCCCCCCGAGTAACCCACACCAAATGTAACCACACTTACCGGCTTCTGAAGCAGGCGATTGATCCGCTCCTTGGGATCGAACTTCTTCTTACCCCGGACGAGAACATAGATGGTGCCGATTTCGGGATGTGTGTCCAGCAGGGCCTCGATCAGGACGGTCCCCAGGAAGCCCGTGCCGCCGGTGACGAAGATGTTTTTGTGGGCAAAAAACTCTGGAATGGTCAGGGCCGTGCTCAACTGTTGGCGCTGGCTGTTCGCTCCACGATTGCTGTGCTGAGGTTTCCCATTGCTGAGGTTGCTGCTGTTGTTGTTGCTGTGGTTGTGGGTGGTGCTGGTGCTGGTGCTAGAGGTGGAGTTTGTGGAGGTTTCGGTGGTGCTGCTACTGCTGTCATGATCCGTTATGACAGCCATGGTGTAGGGCTCGAGATTCGTCGGTGGCGCCAATTTGCTGCTGAACGTTGGAATCGGTTGGGCCCAGCTGCAGCAGAGAATATTTGTCTTACGTTAGTTAGTCTCGAGTCGTGGTTTATTAGATAAAAGGTGAAGCAGATAAAACAGATTGAAAAAAGTCCCCCACTCAAGGCAGCTTCCGTCTGTCTGCGAGATCAAAATCCGCTTGCCGGCGGAAGTGCAGTCGAGTCAAAGGCCATTAAATGATAAGTAGATACAGAGGAAGTGAAAAAGTGATGACCGGAATTGGATGGTTCTTGGACTTCAGCCCTATCCATTCTTCAGAGTTTTCTCTGATGAGCAATGATGATTGATTGATGAACAACGAAAAAGATATTCACGCTTACTAAATACCTTTAGTCTGTTCAGATAATGCTTCAAATGCCTTCACAACACCCCAATGTAGGAGTCCGGCATTTTCTGTCAAATCGAAGTGTTTGATAACAAATCATCAGACAATCTCCATAACCTCCCAAGCATTCAGTTCACAAAAATTTCGGTCATCCATTTTCAAAGTTTTCCAAACAAAACAATTTGTTCCGCTTGGATTTCTACACAAAATTTAGTTCTCAAAAAAAAACCAAACAATCATTTCAGAAATATTCAGCCTCGTGTTGGTAGTAATCAAAATTTTCTGTAACAATATTTAGAATGAATTGCACGCTGAAAGTGGCTCGGGGACTAAACCATTGCTGGGGAAAGCTTCAGCAGGTGCGGCTCCTGAGCCACAGGCGCTTCGAGTGGAACTACAACCCCGACTCGCTCTCCGGGGTGCATTCCCAGTTGCACCGGTTCGATGATGGCCCTGTGGCCAGTGGGGGGCTCATGGAGCCGCCGATGGCCAGCAGCCAGCGAAGTGGGCCCGTGTGGGAGGTGGGTCGGCGCACCATCCTGCAAAACCCCGAGGAGCACATGCGGCGCCAGCAGCTGATCATTGAAGAAAACAGGCGAAGGTGGACCCGGGGACCTGCGAGACGCGATGCACAGGCTCCAGGTATCTCCAAGTCCGACGTTATCTACGATGCCGACGACAGGCGGAATCGAGAGTCGAGTCGACCCCGCCGTAGGGCTAAGGACCCTAACAGAGCGGCCAAGGACTACAGCAAGAGGCGGCGGCACCAACGCCAGAAGGAGGTCAAGCGCCAAGCTTACGAGCTACAAAAGTCGCGCAGGGGCTACAATCTGCCCAGGCCGGATGATTCTCGCGCCGAGGCCCAAGACGGGGACGTGACCATGAGCCATCGCGACGAGGCACAAAATCAGGACGATTACTCTGGCGCCAGCAAGGAGTGGCTGCGCAAGCGCGCAGAGGCTGAGGAGGAAAATCACTGGCACTCCTGGCACACTTGCCCCAGTCAGCGGTGCAGCGAGGATCTAGAGCCCGGCGACGATTTCAATCCCAGCGACGGCAGTCACAGTGGCCTGGGGAGACACCCCGGGGGCTACTACGACAGTCGCCGCAGCTTTCACCACCTGCAGTTGCCCTCGATCAGGTCCTCAAACTACCAGAAAGTAATCGATCGCCTGACGTGCAGACGCAAGCCTGTCGGCTTCCACCTGCTCATGCAGAAGCACCCAGAGGATGCCAGGCTGGAGGATGATTCCGTCCTGGAGGAGAAACCGCCGCAAGCCGCTCTGCGCAAGCGACCGGAGAATGTGGGGAAGACACCGCGCTTTGACATGACCATCACGAGGATGGAACGCGCCCCAGCTCCCGTGTGCAGCTACTCCGAACAGCTGACCAACCCACCGCCGAGCGGCAGCCAATCTTTCTCCAACAAGTGGCGACAGTGTGCCAGTCTTTATAGAGACTTCAAGCGCGGCGCCTAGACGAGACCCTTCGCAGCGGACGCAAAAACCAATCCACAGAATTATACAGTATTTAAATAGAGCTCAAACATAATTTTTGTTGGACTTTTATATCTGCTTTTCAACACTATTAACAGTACTTTCGCACATTTTAAGCATTCCGCTGTAATCGGACTGTATCCGACACAACACTCTCAATCGATTTCCAATTCTCAATGCTTTCAATTAAGTGAAACATTGAAGCCAAGGCCGTTTCCCAACACTGCCAACTGTACTTTCCCCCCGCATCCAGCGGTGATCGGTGATTTTGTGATTTGGTGATCGGTGATCGGTGGCACACTGTCTGCCTTTGTTCGCCTCACCTCATGAGGCCATCAATAGCTCCACTAATTAATGGCAAATGAGGCGTATATCCGCGATACCGAAAGAGACGCGAATGAGAAAATCAGAGAAATCAAATCAAGGTATAACCGCTGTAGTTAGCACTCACGCGGAGGGTTGGGGTTTTCCATTGCCTAAGGTCTGCTAAGGTCTGTGCAAGTGGAAGAGATAATGAACGAAATGCGTAACAATTTTTTCAGCGGAGAGATTAATTTTTTGAGCATTTTCGTGGGATTCGTGTTTGACGCTAACACAAATTTGTGTCAAGGTCGCCGCGCTGCCAGAGAGCCCAAGCAGCGTCTGGTCTGTCTGGGTTGGGCCAGAGTTGGGCCCCAAAGATGTTTGTAGCTAGAGTTTCTGTTCGAACTTCGAAGACAAACAACTTAATCAAAATGCACGGTCACGGTCGCATCGCATGCGTCGTGTTTATCTCCAAAGTCTCTGATGTCTGGGCATGCAGATGATTCGAATCCAATCCCATCGAATGGATACACTCCAGCTCTTGTCCGATAGCTGCTGCTACAGTTGCACATCTTTTTTGGGGGTTTATCACCCGATCGCTAATTGATTCGCCTGATAATTGACCAACTGACAGATCAGGCCCACTTTGCTAACCTTCACTAACCTTCGCTTGCTTTTCCATTTCCAAATGATGACTCAACACATTTGTGCTTGGCCAATTGGCCTAATGACTCGCCTATTTCTTTACATTCGCTTGCTCAAGGCATTTCGCTTTCAAATGCCATAGCCACAGCCACATGATCCGATTCCGTGCGATAGAATTATGCAAATTTTGGATTAGAAGATGGAAATGGGTCGACGGGCCGGTGGCTGGTAGCTGGTGGCTGCGATGGGATGGGATGGAGGGATATCTGAGAGAGACAATGCCACCAACTCTAAACAGGTTTAGAGGTCTCGACCAATGATTTGCATAAAATCTCCACAGGCTCCAACCCAACGCCATTTGAGTTTCGTTCGAGGCACATTTTTGTCATATTTCCATCTCCATCTCGTATTTGTAATAGTTTTTGTTTGTTGAACTCTGTAAAGTTCTTCGTGGGTTGGCTTTGAAACAGACAGATTGATGTATGGATGGGGATGGGGTATAAGAGAAGGTTGGGGGATCGTTGAACTTGACATTTTGTTAGGCGAAAACCTTGAATAATCGGAGACAGATGATCTTTCGATTCGTGTCTGTAGAGGTCAGAAATCAAGAGATGAATTCTTTTTTCTTGCACCGATCCTCTCTATTGTTGTTGTTTACCAACAATATTTTTTCATGTATTTTGAGTTGAGAAAAACGTGGAATCTATTATATACTGGTGTATATACCTGATAGCTATCTACATTGTCTATTGGCTATTGAGAGACAGCTTTAAGTGCACGAGTATATGCCCTAAGATTTGCATAATTTTTCTACGTCTGCGCTTGTATTGAGATAAATGACTCTCTCTCTCTTTCTCTCTATTCGCTCTCCGCTCACCAAGCCTCCCCCTGCGAAGCACAGAAACGGTTTATGCATATTAAATATTTGGAAATTTATTTTGCAGCTTCAAAATGGCAAGATCGTATCGAAGCCCTAGGCAACAAATTGATGGCCAGAAGAGCCGAAAACAAACGATTGGAGGCGACTCTTCGTTTTCGGTTAGGGTATGTTCCAACTGCGACGAATTTTCGGTTTTTTGCTTATGTCTAAAGATCCATTTCGGTCACTTTCTATTAACGACGATCAGATCTTTCTCCTCTCGTTGGCTTGGCCAGGCCAAATGATTTCTCTTCATGTTTTGTTATGATTTTGATTTTGATTCGATTTTGATACGACTCCATTTAATGCCATTTATTTCCGCCTTGGCAACCAAATGTGTAACAATAATTCGTTGTTTTATTTATGCTAGGCATGAACCATCGGTGTGCGGTGTGGAGGAGATCGGGGATCGGGGAAGACTCATTGAATCGAACGCCATAAACAACAAACAGAGAAAACTGAAATACTGAAAAAGTCGCACTTGGGGCTGCGGCTGGGCATTAGCATTAAATATTTGTTGTATTTTGGCGTAGACCTTAACATTGAAACATACCGCAACAAAAACAATGAAAGCAAGCCATATTGATTGAGCAGCTCAACAATCACCACTAAACAATCAACAATTGTGATTCCGTTCAATGCCAATCTAAAGACTTAGGCAACGAACGTGGAGAATCTTAGCGCCACCTAGGAATGATCTTATTTCTGAAGATAATTCAATCGAAAATTGGAAATTACATCTTATAATATAGGATGAAGACCCTAAAATAGATATATAATGCTTGAGATATATTCTATAGGGTATCAATAGCTTCGACCCTGTCTATCTAGCCTCTCTGTTGCTCCGACAATTTGCGCTTAGATTTCGACCCATTAACAAATAGACAATTGAACATTCCTGTTTGATGCTTGTGGCCATAACGAAATTCTACCACAAAAAACTGTATTAGTATTTATTTATATTCTTCTGGAACATTTGGTAAACCGGTTGGCAGCGTTAAAAACGATGTCAGCCATCCAAAAAAACTGTAATAAATTATAGAACCATGCCAGAACCAGAAGAAAGAAATAAGCGTTTCTGGATTTGGCCACGCTGTCAGTTCCAGAGAAAACTTTAAATTTGTTTGCGAAAAGACCAGGAAAAATGCTATTATAAGCATATATTTCTAAAGGCAATACAATTACTTTGGTTTGCCAATGAATTTTCTAGCAGTCAGCAAAACAACATGTGGAAAACAGTCGCGAAAAACTTAACCAGCACACACTGATAGGAAAACCGAAACACACACGGAAACCAAGAGAGCGGTAGCGAGCGAGCGAGCGAGCGAGAGAGAGAGGTAAAACAAACATTCGAGTGAAAATTGAAAAACAAACAGATATTCCAATGGGTTTTCCTTGAAAACAAACAAATATCCGATAAACTGAGCACAAAGGTCTTTCGTCACTTCCGCTGGGTCATCGATTTCCAAGTGTTTGGCAATCTGTTCTCGACTCGATCGAAATTTGTTGCAATCGGTTGTACTTTCGATGACTTATCATTGATTGCACCACGCGTCGGTTCTGTTCGGTTTGGTTCGATTCGGGGGGTTTCACTTTGCACTTGATTTGATTTTGGGTGGGCAGACGCAGATGTAGACGACCGGGACACACGACGGTTGTGATGGCCAGTGTTGGGTGTTAACTGTTTATGTGGAAGTGTAAACTAACCGAAAAACTATATTGACCAAAGTCTGCAGCGGGAGGGGGTGGCCGAGCACACTGTGACGCGGTGCAGGAGGAGGAGAGGAGTTGGCTAAGAGGTTTTCTTCTTTTGCTGTCACTGCCAACGCACGCTCAACGCAGACTGATCCGAGGAAATGGCGCGACCGGAGCTTAAGCTGAAACCCAAACTTGCACTCAAAATCGGAATCAGAAACACTCACAGTCTCTGTGGCTCTCTTTCTCTAGCTCATCGGCACTGTCTCGTCTCTGGCTCTCAACTCACAAAGATCGTCAAAGCTAAGTAATGAAAATCGGAGCAGAAAACAATCAGAAGTCAGCGACGAAACCGAATAACCAACAACAAATAACAGTAGAGTCATTAGAGTCGACATTCCGACTGTTAGATACCCACTATTAGAAAAAAAATATCTAAAGACAATTAAGCAGAAACGTTGCGTTTCCTTGTTTATAGTTTGTTGGCCAGATAATATTCATAAAATGTAAAAATGTGCTATTTTGAAGTTGTACCATCTATAAAATTGAGAATGTTACTGATCATAAATATTTATTGTCCGGACTAATCAAATATACCCTTCATTACTGGGTGCAAAGAGCGAGCGAAATAAGCACACTCAGCTGAAGGCAGAGAAACACCAAAACGGAGCGGAGAGCGCAGCACGGAGCACGGAGCACGTAGAGAGAGAGCAGCACTTTTGAGTGGCTAACGAAGCAGCAAGACATCAACATCGGCAACGTTTTCGGTAACTGAGAAAGCTGACTCTCCACCCCCTACCTCTCCCACCTGTGTGCCCCCCTCTCATGGTCGGATCTATTACGAGTGCGTGGTATCTTTTGAGTGGATCTGGCAATGCCTTTGGCTGCCGTTTGGCGACCATCCACAATCCAGCAACCCAGCAACCAGCGGGTGAAAGCGAGACAGCGACTGGTGCTTGAGTTAAGCGATTCGACTTAGAAGACAATACACTCAACAACGTACAAATGAATCCAAGGAAATACTTTACTCGTACTCCCACAAATTTCGTTATTCTCTTGAAATGATTTTAGTTTTCCAAATAATTTGAGGTCTTCAAGCGGGTCACATAGCTTCCTGTTCTTTGTCTCTTACCGCTGACCATTGCACTTTATTCTGGTCAAGAACGATACAGTTATATCTGGTACAGTACATACATATACATATTCTGCTGATGTTCATAATTTGAGTCCGGTGTCAATGCGGGAAGGAAAAAAACACTGGGGGATCGTATGACGTGCAGCAGATCCACGTTTTCGTTGATTAATTATGCAAAAATGCTTTGTTTTGCTGATTAATTGATTGATTGATAGACGCCTTGATGATACCAAAGCAAATAACATTACAAAACTGTCCGTTTCAATGATCTTCTCTGACGGAAGCTTAGAAAGCTCCAGCGATCTTCAACTGCAGGTGACCTACATAAAGGAGGGGAAGAGACAAATAAACAGAAAAAAC